GCTCTTCGTTTCAGCACCGAGCACTGGCGACATCTCTAGACGCGATACATGACAAAGCGGTGAACCGTCATCTGCGAGCGCCGTGAAGGAGCTCTCGATGCCTTTGATCGTCTTCTTGAACCTTGACGTTGTGAGCATTCTGATGTGGCGTGTTTGAGGGTGTTGCCACCCAGATGCTGATATCCAGGTATCATAGACTTTGTGAGGAATGATTGTCGGTAGCTTGTCTGACATACCGGTGGACGGCGCGGTAAAGCAGACTTGGCAAGCTGCATCAAGTACTGCTGGATGCACCACCCCTTCGTAAGAATGTGTGGGCGCACTGACGTCGACGCTGGCGATACCAAGCTCGTCGCCATCCCAGCGGATATTGTCTGCCAACGCAAACGCTTCGCCGTATTTGAGACCTTGGTTCTTGTGCCAGTCGTAGAAGTCCGTCTTGCTTATAGGAAGCATGCATTGTTCTTCTGCTGCAACGTAGCTATCGAGCAATGCCTTAGCGTGAGCTCTCGCTTCAAGACCACAATCTACTTCCGTGGCAGTCTCTTCGTAGTCCACATGCACTTCAGCTCGGACACACTCAATCCACTCACTGTCTGATCGAGCGAAAATACGAACTTCCGAACGTGTCGACGTCTTCTCGTAGTCCTGACGAAGCGGGCGTAGCTGAGTCACCACTTCTGTCTTGCTCTTAGGCTCAGAGCTAACGACGATGGGATTCATGAATGTTGCTTCCTTGATATTGTAGCCCAGAATGACTTGTTCGGTCTGGAAGTGTTGTTTTACGGCTTCTAGAGCCATCATGATCATTCCGGTAGCCGGGAAAAGCGCCTGGTCACCTACGACGTGGTCTGCAAGCCAAGGGGTCTCTTCCAGACTAAGCATCTTCCGCCATCGCGGCTCGGAAGGATTCCAGTCCGTAGCACATATGCCGAGGACGCCTCTTGGTGCATTATTGCGCATCCGCCAGTCTCGGCTAAGTCGAGTCTCGTGCCAGTATGTCTGCGAACGATCGAAAGGGTACTCAGGCAAGTCAACCAGGATCTGCAGGCGTTCCTTTTGAGCATCTTGTAGATTCGCCGCATCGATTGACGGAGCATATCCATACGTAAACAAGCACCCGATTGTCCTCAGGGTCGATCTGAGAGAAGAATCGAATTTCGACAACAAAGACATGTACCTAGCTTGCTTCTTGGTCGTATATTGGCCCAATGCTTCGGTGGTAGGTCTCTTCAGTGCTGCGTGAGGTCCGATTTCGACATAATCATGTATGGTATGGCTGCGATCGAGCTTCGGTGCTGTCACAACAAGGTATCGCAGGGCGTCCGCAAATCTGACGGGGGATACAAGATTATCGACCCAGTAACTACCTGTGACCAAGGCATCGGCATCAACTACTGTGCCGGTCACAGAGGAAACCATGAAGATTGAGCTGTGTTGCTCGCCTGGTTCAAGTGGACCCATCGACGAGTAATACTCCGCGGAAATGCCATACATAGCGGGAGAATGATAAGCTACGCCAGTTCTCAGTTTCTGCGCGAATATGCCGTCTTCGTCCAGCCGATCTTTCAAGTTGTCGATGTCGGTCTCATCGCCAGATAGTGTTATGTTAAAAGGGCTGTTGACGCAAGCAACGTGGATATTTCCAGAGAGAGAGGCCTTGGCCAGGTATGCTGAAACGGCACTTTCGGCGAGATTGACTGAAATCATGGCTCCGGGACGGGGTAAAGATTCCATAAGCTGATTGGCCAGTCTTCCTCTATAATAGGCGACTTTACATGCGGACTCAAGTGACAAAGCACCGATACAGTACGCCGCGGCGATCTCGCCAGAGGAGTGGCCAACCACTGCAAGTGGCGCAATACTGAAGCTTCTTAGTAGTTCCACAAGCGCTATCTGGAGAGCAGTGCAGAGGGGCTAGCTGAAACGGGGCTGATTGATGTTGTTCCCGTGCTCCATCTCGTCTAGTCAAGAGTCAGCTTGGCCGTCAAAGTAAAGGCAGTCGATTGTCTTACCCAGTAATGACCACGGTGCGCCTAATGAGTGAAAGATATCCCCGATCCTGACCAAAGTTGACCTGAAGATAGGAAATCTGAGCAGTTCCCAGCCCATTTGAGCGTACTGTGCACCTTGGCCAGTGAAAATCCACGCCATGCCGGCCTCTCGAGCTGAACGTATCAGGGTGGAGGTAGCAGCGCTGATGACCGTAGATTTCTCGCTGGAATCAACGACTGCGAACGCCCTCCACGCCATGACACTCCTACGAGAGGACAGAGTATACGCGAGGCGACGTAGTTTCTCTTCGTGCCCTGATACGCGCTTGTCGAAGTAGTCTGTATACTGCTGTATTACGAGTCGTAACGCGGCTTCGTCCTTTGCTGACCAAACAAGTAACTGGACACCTCCTTCCGGTACCTTGACACTCTGAGTAGTATTACCGGTTGTCGAGCCATTCATATGAGCAGGATCAGCGGCCACCCCAAACTCGCTGGCATGGTCGTTACTGTTCGTGCCATTCGCGTGTCCATTTAGGATATTGCCATTCATTTGTGACTTCTGCAGAGTTGAAGCAACCAATGTATTGTGGAAGCTTTGTAGGCTCATTGATTCGAGAGTGTGACATGCATCGTCCAGTATGACATGTCCATTAGAACCGCCGAATCCGAATGAGTTTACTGAGATGCGACGCAGCCCGTTGGTCGGCCATGGGATGCATTTCATAGGTACGTCAACATGGTAGATTTTGGCGTTGATCTTTGGACTGATCTTCTCGAAGAGTGCGCTCGGTGGTATGACGCCCATTTCCAATATCATGATAGACTTGAGAATTCCAGCTAGTCCGCTACAGCCTTCGAGATGGCCTATGTTGGATTTGACCGATCCGACATATAGCGGGTGTTTTTGTGATCGGCTGGCCCGGAAGGTCCTGCCTATCGCCTTCATCTCCGTGGCATCTCCGAGCTGGGTACCAGTGCCATGAGCTTCGACGTATCGCGTAGACTCGAATCCCAGATTGCTGCTCTTGTAAACTTGCCTTATCAGCTGCTCTTGGGACTCCGCGCTGGGCTGCGTGATGCCTGGTGTGCGTCCATCCTGGTTTGAACCAGTCGCTCGAACTACGGCACGTATGACATCTGAATCTCGAATCGCATCCGAAAGCCTCTTGAGTACCAGCACTACCGCACCTTCTCCACGGGCGTAACCATTAGCACGGTGATCGAAGCTGTAGGAGACGCCGTCTGGTGAGAGCATCTGCATGTTCGATAGGTAGAGTGAGATTTCGACGCTGAGGAGGACGTTTGCCCCTGCGAGAAGAGCCTACAGCGCGTGTCAGTATTCTTGCGATACTCCAGTCGCCAGAGATAGCCTTACCATCGAGCTCTGACCGCTGCGAAGCGATTGACAAGCCAAGTCCATCGCAATTATGCTTGTCGAGCATGCCGTGTTCAGTTGGATGCTAGGCCCTTTGAAGTCGAAGTACCAGCTGAGCCTATTGGCTAAGATAGAAGGCGAGGTACCAGTCGCGGTATTGGTCGGCGCTTCGTCGGGGTCTCTAGCCAAGATTCTGCTGTAGTCATCGGACATGGAAGCAGCAAACACTGCCGTCTGGGATCCAGCAAGAGTTTCTGGTGGAATTCCGGCTGTAGGCGATCAGACTCTATCGAAAGTACCGGTGTTGCAAATACAGGGTAGCCCTTACCATTCTCCAATGCCTTGTATGAGGTCTCCAGTAGCCATCTCTGCTGAGGGTCCATTGATGCGGCCTCTTTCGAGGTTATGGAGAAGAAGGCTGCATCAAAGGCGGCGGGATCTTCTTTGACAAAGTGAGCATACGTGGAGTATACCTGTCAACCTCTGTTAGCATCGGCTGCTCTCGTGACGTTCCGTGGATGTAACTTGCCGTATTATCCAGCGCTACGTTAGAGCTGTAAAATGCATCGACGTTGCATCGTGACTTGGGCCATGGACGACTGAGGCTTCTGCCCCTTTCAAGATTGTCCCAGAAACTGTGGTCCTCGTTGTCACCTTCCGGTAGCTTGTACGACAACCCGACGATAGCAATGGGCTCCATGGCTGTGAGGCTTCGGCGTAAGTTCACGGTGTTCTTACTGTTCAAGTGCGGTGCTGATTCAGTTACACCAAAACATAACGGAAGAAAAAGCGCATAGCGATGGTCATGCTATTTCGAGCTTTCCCAGGTATGATCATCTGGGCGTGTGCTGGGGCGTGAAGTGATTGGCCGTTGCTACCGATGGTATGGCTATTGGTGGTAAGCCATTACAGTCTATGGCCCCCAAGGCAGACCTACAGGAAGCGTCAAAATCCTTGAAGGTTATTTCCTTGAAAGTATTGATGCGCGTGCAGGGGTGGCTTGGCTGCATGCGAGTTGGTTTCCAAAAGCGACCAAATGTCAGCCGTTAATATCGCCCACTGCCACCCACGTACGTTCAATCTGCCGGAGCCAGTCAGCTTGATAAAGCGCTGGCAAGGCAGTCATCCACTGCGCTGGAATCATTTTTCCTCTACTCTACCGCCTTCCGCGTTAATCCAATCTGCTCACAAAGGCAAAATCGCGCTCGCACATTATATTCGCTTGACATCATGGACCCAGCTGCGTTCGCACAATCCTCGGCAGAAGAGCAGGCTACATACCTAGCCGCGCTTTTGGAGGGTCCAGCTCTAGAGCCACCCCTGGGTACGACTTCAAACTTCGACCACCCAGGCGGAAGCCATGCCATTGGCTATGGTGTTGTCTTGCTCGGAAGCATTGTCGCTGCACTTGCGGTTCTGCTTCGGCTGTGCTCGAGGGCGCTCTTGCGGACATTTCGAGTGGAGGATGCGCTGCTGCTATCGGCTCTGGTAAGCGTTTCGGTGTACAAAAGACTGCACAAACTAAGCCAGCTGTACAGGGTCTCTATGCTGGACACTCATATGTCCTATATGAACTCGCGATATTCCCAGGCTTTGAAGTCCATCAGTGGAACATCCAGTTAAAAAATATGTTGCCAATCCTTTACGTGAGTGTGGTCGCGATCCAAAGATGAACCTTGACTGACCCGTAACAGCATGTTCATATAGGCTCAATGTTTTACGGCTTGGTCATCATGCTCCTGAAGGTAGCCATCTTGCTCGACTGGCTCAAGGTCTTTGTACCTCGTGGCCAGCGCAACGCCATGTTCTGGATTTCTCATGTCATGATCTGGGCGAACATTCTTTTCTATGGGGTCGGCACCGTGGTCGAGATCGTCCAGTGCACTCCACGGACCAAGATATGGAATCCTTTGATAGGAGGAAGATGCCCGATCGACATGAGAAGTCACAACATGGCTGCGGGTATCGTCAACCTCATCTCCGACCTCGTCATCCTAGGGCTGCCGCAGAGGGTGATCTGGCAGCTGCACATGTCGCGCGCCAGCAAGATTGGTGTATCGCTTCTCTTCGGTGTTGGTATATTCGCCTGTGCCAGTGCAGCGGTGCGCCTTCATTACATCTACAGGCTGTTGCACACATCCGATCAGCTGTATATAGTCTCCATCGCGGGTCTTTGGGGTGTAGGCGAGATGACGGCTGGATTTCTCATCATAGGCTTCCCATCGCTTCCTAAAGTCGTCAAGGCCCTGCCGTTCTCGGATTCTGTCGTCTCGCTCTTGCGACAGATAACGCGGCCGGGCTCAAGCGGTCAGGGCGAGACGCGTCGCGGGTTGCCGTCGTGGCACAAAGCCGCACCGCCAAAGAAGCGTCGCGACCAGTTCGAGGTCAGCGAGGTGAGCGAGTATGATCTTCCTAGGGCTCACACGAACGATAGGCGTTAGGGTATGGCTCGCATCGTGGGTTGGTTGGATCGTGATGCCTGCTTTCATCACAATAGAAACATGCCCTGCTTGTCACCGGCAGAATCTCGGCGTGCGCGTCCCAGCCACTCATGTTCCGCTGACGTGAGCCCTTTCATCACGTGACGAACACGACTTGTGCGCGTCATGACGATCCTCCCCTATTGCTCTCCTCTCTGCTTGATACCTTGGCGACTCCTGCACAATTCGCCTGCATGCAGGTAAGAGCTCACCGATATGATATTGCATGCCGAGTCTAGGCACCCTTTTGACCGGCTACTACCTGTGATCGCTACAGCCGCGTTGAGCTGTCGGTTGCTGCAAGGGTAGTTTACGGCCCACGGATAGTGCCATTAGATCCAGGATCTCATTCGCCTAGATTTAGCCTCCCTGGACGTCCTCTTCTCCTTGCCTGTCTCAATGCCACAGTCAGGTTGATCCGATGGCTGTGTCGCATGGACTACGGGCCCCCCGGGGGCAGGTCGTACATATAGCGACGGGCTTCAATGTGCAGTGCATCCTTCTCGGATATATATGTTACACTACTGCTTTACGGACACTCTGACAGAATGGGTGAGGCATATGACCCAAGGACCCTCTTCAGCCCCAGCCGAGAGTTGGCGGCCCGTATCGGCAATCAGAAGCCCCGACAAAAGACAATCCCGTCGTCCTCATTCTATCGCAACCTGGAAGACGCACTAGAAGTTAAGAAGAAGTCACACACCTTCTATTCCATTCAACAGAACCTATGGCAAGCGGCCGAGTCCACAGTCGACTTCATCTCCAACGACATTCTCTCCTTTGGAACCAGTGGTATCCTGAAGAGAGAATACCTGAAAGAGCTTTCCCGATATGATCAACGCAATCCTGGGGCGCCGGGATCGCGACTCGCCGAAGGAAACTACGCCTATATAGAAGAAACCGAGCAGCACATTGCTAAGTTTCATGGCGCCGAAACGGCACTGCTGCTGGCTTCTGGGTTCGAAGCAAACGTGGCCATATGGACATCAATACCACGACCGGGCGACCTGATCCTATACGACACGTTGGTACACGCCAGTACCCATGAGGGAATTGACCAGAGTCTGGCAGGAGAACGAGAGAGTTTCGCGCACAATGACGTCGAGGACTTCCGCCGCATGCTAACATGGATTATAGAGTCCAATCCATTGATCCAAAGGGGCGCAAGATCAGTCTTAGTAGCTGTCGAGTCCGTCTATAGTATGGACGGAGATGTCTGCCCGTTGCAAGAACTTGTTGATGCCGCGAAGGAATTGGCTCCTTGCGGAAGTGTCCAGTTCGTGGTGGACGAAGCCCATAGCAATGGCATCTATGGGCCTCGAGGCAAGGGTCTTGTGTGCGCTCTTGGTTTGGAAAGGGAGGTGGCGATAGTGATGCATTCATACGGCAAGGCCTTGTCGTCAAGAGGTGGTGTGTATCTCATTACCTGCACGAAGGCCGTGTATACTCACTTGCGATACAGCTACAGTCCTCGGTAATGAGACGATCAAATCTACGCTCCTGAACTTCGCACGAACTATCATTTTCACGACTGCGCCTTCATTCGCATCTGTAGCACTTATCCGAACCGGATACAGGCTGTTGGAGTCGGAAGTTGGAAGACAGGTAATTATCCTGTTCACGTCAATGTCAATGGCGATCGTTCTCTGACACTGTACAAGGCCCAAACAAAAGTTCACGACCTTGTCGACCTCTTCTTACAGTCAATCATATCGCACCCCCTCTGGGAAAGCGCAGAGCAGGCCGGGCTACTCGCCATCCCCCTGCTCAAGGACTGGGAAGGATCACCAACGGCGACTTCCCACATCATCACAATCCGCACCCGACAACCATACACATACTGGCTGTACTTCCACCTCCTCCTAGACGGCTACTGCGTGTTCCCAGTCGAGCACCCCGTTGTCGCCAAGGGCGAAAGTCGCTTAAAGGTTACATTCCACGCCGGCAACACGGAAGAGCAAGTAAGCGGAATGGTAACATCGGTCTTCGCGTGGATCCAGGAAATGAAGGAGATCGAGGGAAGTAAGGATGATGCGCAGCGAATTGGCGTTTCGCAAGCTGCCCACAAGGTCTATACTTGGATGGCGCATGAAGGGCTGACTGGGTTTGGTATGCCTGCTTCGATGGTGAGATGCTGAACGTATCTTTCATTGGCCTCACGATCATTACCCGGGTAATTCGTCTCGTCTCGAGTTCGCCTTGGAAGTTTTAAGATTATGCGTAATGCGGCAAGGGTGATGTAGCTCGCTCAATGGGGCGTAATAAGCATGCGAAGGAGGTGGAGCCAACCGCATCATCCTTCATATCTACTTCATAAAGTACCAAGATGGCGGTTCCCGAGCCGCGAAGATCATTCCTTCATGTACATGTTGTGAGTAACACGAAATATGCACGTAAGCCGTTGAGGCTTGGCAAGAAGGACTGGAATGGGGCGAAGTCAGATTATAGTTGCAGAAAGGCTGGCGGCAGTTCCTTCAGCCTTCACATGCTAGCGCTTCGGGCCGGTGGATCTTGGATGCTCATACGTGCATGTAGGATTCTTCCATCGAGGCTTTTTGGAGATCAGGATATGCCCAGGTTGTGTAGTATAGTTGTGTCGCGTCTAAATTCTAGTTCCTGCAAGTATTGTCCAGCATCCAGGCAATAGCGATACCAGGGTCTTGGTCTGGTATAGTGGTAATTCCATGAGATGATATACCAGTGCGAGAGAAGGATGGCCACATGTGCAGTAAGATCGCTTCGTCGAGAACTAGATGAGGCCGCTGTCGTTGGCCACCCAACCCACACGTGAGACTTTTGCATGCTTCTTGTTGTTCAAGTATTCGATATGCGCAATGACCAGGTCTCTTAGTGCTCAGATAGAGTGAAACAACCCAGGCTTTGACCTCGGCAGCCTCCAGCCTGCCACAATTCCGAGCTTACAGGTGATCATGCCAGAAGAACAGGACAGTCTTGCATTGCCTCATTGTCGTATTGCACAATTTATGGAGTTCAACATGGCCTATTGTCTAGATGTAAAGTCTATTAACCACGCGGGCCGTGCGCCTCCGCGATGCAGCGCCGCTGCCTAAACAATTACCGTGCCACAAGCGCGCAGAACCATTACACCGGGATAAGTGGCGGCGTCTTGTCTGGCTCTTCTCCCCTCTCATCAATTCTCCGGCAACCACTACTCCTTTGCATTGCCGTCCGTTTCACAGCACGTAACCATGGCGCCTAAAGGTGATCTAAGTGGGAAGGTACGGTACCACCTTTCTGATTCGCGTATGTGCGCTTACATGTGAAGACGGTATTCGTGGTCGGCGGATCGAAGGGACTGGGAAAGGAGATGTCGAAGGTTATGGCTTCTCAAGGTACGTCATTGGTGTGCCTAGAGTGTCTGTCGTCATTGTTAAACACATCGTATAGGTGCTCATGTAACTATCTTTGCGCGAGGGCAGACATCGCTCGACGAGGCCAAAGATGAGATTCTTGCTAGCAGAAGAGACGAAAGCCAGCAGGTTGCGGCAATCGCTGCAGACCTTGGCATACCTTCAACAGTGAGTAAGCGTCCGGTCCAACTACCATACGGAGAAGGCAAGTCCAGAATAGTATTTTAACGATATCACTAGGCGTATTCGCTTTTCGCATCACAGCCGACAATTCCAGATATCGTGTACTGTGTTGCTGGCGGTACACCGTCGGAGTGCGGGTACTTGCTCGATCTGCAGCCTGAGGTATTCGAACGCTGTATGAACAACAACTACTACTCAAGCCTGTACCCAGCGCAGGCGGCAATGAAGCTGTGGATTCAAGATGACGAAGATGCCGCGGTGCCATCAAGCCCAAAGTTGAGGAAGATTGTGTTCGTGAATAGTTCCGCATCACTTGTGCCGGCACCTGGCTACCTAGCATACTCTGGTAAGTGGTTATTCATCGTCATGGATTGGTACAAGTCTTGAAGCCAGTAGTATACTGACTAATCGTTCGTTTCCATTCAGCCGCCAAAGCTGCTCAACGCTCGCTTGCCGACACCCTACGCATGGAAGTATTGAGGTACTCAGGCCGAAAGAGCACATACGCTGTCCAATGTATCTTTGCGCACAACTTCATCACGCCAACCTTTCTACAAGAGCAAAAGACTAAACCCGAACTTACCAAGCGCATTGAAGGCACGTCGGGCGAGCTTCACGAGTTGGAGAAGCAATTCCCTTACGCTGCGAAGATTGCGCCCGAGATTGTGGCAAATGTCGCAAGCGGCGACTATGCTGTATGTGATGGGAGATTCGATCCTCAGCTATTGTGGGCGAATGCTATGGGTGCGAGTCCGCGGCGTGGATGGGGTATCGTGGATACGCTGATGGCTATGTTCATGCTTCTCGCGTGGCCATTCGTGAGGCGCGATATGGAGAAGAAGTGCAGGGGTGATGCGTTGGATGCAAAATAGGATGAAGACACGAAATCATGATGGTCGTCCTACATCATCAATGGCCTATAAGGTTCTGTTTAGTGCGATTAATAATCGTACTCTCTAACATATGGGGTATGTCTCAGTCTGAATAAGGGCCGAAGCGATGACGTTTCCGCCATTTGAGGTTTGCATGTGATCGAGAATGCGGCACAGCTACTGCATCTTGATCTTCTGTTCCCCGCCTGCACCCTTGCACTCGACACACATTCCGGTCTCATCATGGGTAGCCTGCTCAGTTTAATCCGTCCCATGCCACCGCCTCCATCTGATAGCGCACGTTTCACAAATCCGGTGCAACGTCCAACGCACTTGTGCGGTCCGCGAACCATCTACAATAGCGTCAAAGATCTCAGTAAACGTGTCGACTTCTACGAAGAAATCACCATATTCGCTTGGCCATCACGCGGAGGTGTGATCGTACTCGAGAGGCCCTGTCCTGCAGATTTCGACTTTCTCGGCCTTGACCGTCTCGATCCACCGAAGAAGCGTCACGCCACTCGACAAGAGGAAGATGACTTTGCTCAGCGATTACTATTGCTCGGTGGGAAGTGGTGGGATTCTCCCGCTAGACACTCCCTCTTCACTCAACCCGACCACTTGCAAGATGAGGAGATAATGGCTGCTCAGCCTGAGCCGACAGCGAGGGAAAACGCGTGGGTTGGTGTCGCATGGCCTAGCTCAGGCGGACTTGTCGTAGCTGAGTGGCCGACAATGATGTACCCTGGTGGGCGCATGGACGACGTCGCTCCAGACGATGTGTCGAGATTATTCCTATGTACCACAATGGACGAGAAGGCTGCAGTGCTGATGGACAGCAAACTTGGAGGGAAGTGGTGGAAAGGAGTCGAGGATTACGAGGGCAAAGCTTTCATTGGCAGCTGGGGAAACCATCGAGGCGAAGTTGGCGGACTTCAACAAACGTGGCCAAACGAGGGAGAGAGCCAGAATCCTGGTAGTAAAGCTCTGCCTGGTCAACGAGTTCTCTCATCCAGAGAATCAAACTTCGATGTAGGAAAATATTGCTGACGTGTCGAGTGTACCTTGCCCTTTGACTTTCGAACCGGACGTCAGGCCGCAAGGCGTGAAGAGTCACATCCTGCCACGCTGATCGCGGACCCGCCTGAGTCGCATTGAACCATGGTCATTGCAGGCGGAACGTTGGGTAGGCGTGGAGTGATGATCTGATGTGGCACCAGTTGGGCCGACGCGACTGGTCTAGTCCATATCGGGTATAGTGCAACAGGAGTGACGTAGCTGCGATTGGCGGGGAGCTCTTTGCCTGACCGGAAACCTGTACGAGGATCCAGAAGCTTCTACCGACAGGGCAGAACCCACGCCTAGCTTCGAGACATGACGAGAAACCACACGATGTCACTGACGGCTTCCTGACGCTTCACGAAGTGTTGAGTAAAGCTGCCTTCACCCTATAAATATTTCTCGAGTCCTTTGTGCAACACTTCCTTTCTTCTCCAGAGATACCCAACAACAACACAACGCATACACGATTCCTGAGTACGAGCTCACGACCCACGATTATTACCTTTGGCTTCGGGCCATATACACCAGGCTATAGTCACGAATCACCATGACTTCATTCGACGCCTACACCGACCGCGCCGCGAAGGCTCTAGCAGACAGCTTCGATCTAGCTAAGGGCTATGCGCACTCACAACTCACACCCCTCCACCTCGCCGTCTCGCTCATAGATCCCCCCAAGGATCTGGCCAACCAAGTCGACGTACCACCGCCGCCGCTATTCAAGCAAGTCCTCGAACGCGCGAATGGCGACCCACAACTCTTCGAGCGCAACCTCAAGAAGGCTATGGTACGGTTACCAAGCCAAGACCCTCCGCCAGAGCGGACTTCACCTTCACCTGCTATGGCCAAGGTGCTCCGCTCCGCCGAAGACTTGAGCAAGACACAAAAAGACAGCTTCATCGCCGTCGACCACCTCATCCAGTCCCTCTGCCAGGATGCGCAAATGCAACGGATCCTCGCCGAGTCCAACGTACCGAACGTCAAGCAGATCGACAATGCCATCCTGGCACTCCGAGGCACAAAGCGGGTGGACTCCAAGTCGGCAGACGCGGAGCAGGAGAACGAGAACCTGAAGAAGTTCACCATCGACATGACGGCAATGGCACGAGAGGGCAAGATCGACCCAGTCATTGGTCGAGAAGACGAGACACGCAGAGTCATCCGCATCCTGACTCGGCGAACCAAGAACAACCCAGTCCTCATCGGAGAACCTGGTGTTGGTAAGACTACAGTCGTCGAGGGTCTTGCCCGCCGCATTGTCGATGCGGATGTACCGGCCAATCTCGCAGCCTGCAAGCTGCTCTCTCTCGATGTCGGTGCTTTGGTTGCTGGCAGCAAGTACCGCGGAGAGTTTGAAGACCGCATGAAGGGCGTCCTGAAGGAGATCGAGGAGTCGAAAGAGATGATAGTATTGTTCGTCGACGAAATCCATCTCCTCATGGGCGCTGGTTCATCCGGAGAGGGCGGCATGGACGCTGCCAACTTGCTGAAGCCCATGCTGGCCCGTGGACAGCTTCACTGCATTGGTGCGACTACCCTGGGCGAGTACCGAAAATACATCGAGAAGGACGCTGCCTTCGAGCGACGTTTCCAGCAGGTCCTCGTCAAGGAACCGTCCATTCCCGAGACCATCTCCATTCTCCGTGGTCTCAAGGAGCGCTACGAGACCCATCACGGTGTCACCATCATGGACGGTGCAATCGTTGCATCAGCCACCCTTGCTGCTCGCTACCTCACTCAGCGCCGACTACCCGACTCTGCCGTTGACCTTATCGATGAGGCTGCGGCAGCCGTCCGTGTTACCCGAGAGTCACAACCCGAAGCGCTTGATAACCTCGAGCGCCGCCACCGACAACTACAGATTGAGATCCACGCGCTCTCCCGAGAGAAGGACGAAGCCTCACAAGTCCGTCTGAAGGAGGCACGCGCAGAGGCCGCCAACATCGAAGAAGAGCTGAAGCCGCTTCGTGAGATGTACGAGCGCGAAAAGGGTCGCAGCAAGGACATCCAGGAGCAGAAGCTCAAGCTCGAAGGCCTCAAGACGAAGCTTGCTGAAGCCGAGCGTATGCGCGACATCCAGACTGCTTCCGATCTCAAGTACTACGCCATTCCCGATGTCGAGCAGCGCATCAGCGAGCTGGAGCGAGACAAGGCCCGCGCGGATGCAGAGATGTGGTCTCACCAGGCTAGTGGTGGTGGTGAAGCTCTCATGAGCGACTCTGTTGGTCCAGACCAGATCAACGAGATTGTCGCTCGCTGGACCGGTATCCCAGTCACTCGACTCAAGACTACAGAAAAGGACAAGCTGCTCAACATGGAGCGCCACCTCCAAGAAGTCGTCGTTGGTCAGAGGGAGGCTGTAGTCTCCGTCTCCAACGCCATCCGACTTCAGCGCTCTGGTCTGGCCAACCCCAACCAACCGCCCAGCTTCTTGTTCTGTGGTCCTTCCGGTACCGGTAAGACACTCCTTACAAAGGCCCTCGCGGAGTTCCTATTCGACGACGCAAAAGCCATGATCCGCTTCGACATGTCTGAGTACCAAGAGCGTCACTCACTCAGCCGAATGATCGGAGCACCACCCGGCTACGTCGGTCACGACGCTGGAGGTCAGCTGACCGAAGCCCTGCGCCGCAAACCCTTCTCCATCCTCCTCTTCGACGAAGTCGAAAAGGCCGCCAAGGAAGTCCTTACCGTACTCCTCCAACTCATGGACGACGGCCGCATCACCGACGGCCAAGGCCGCGTTGTCGACGCAAAGAACTGTATCGTGGTCATGACCTCCAACCTCGGCGCGGAGCACCTGTCCCGCCCCAACGCACCCGACGGCAAGATCGATCCCACCACCAAAGAAATGGTCATGGGCGCCCTGCGCAACTGGTTCCTCCCCGAGTTCCTCAACCGCATCTCCTCCATCGTCATCTTCAACCGCCTCACCAAGCGCGAGATCCGCAAGATCGTCGACGTGCGCCTCGGCGAAATCCAGAAACGTCTCAACCAGAACGGACGTAATGTGCGCATCGAGATGACGCCTGAGGTACGGGATTACCTTGGTTCGGCGGGCTACTCGCCTGCGTACGGTGCTAGGCCTCTTGCTCGCCTCATCGAGAAGGAGGTGCTTAACCGGCTTGCGGTGCTTATTCTCCGTGGTTCTATCAAGGAGGGTGAGACGGCGAGGGTTGTGCTTGATGATGGACATATCATGGTTTTGCCTAACCACACGGACAGCGAGGATGATTCCGAGATGTATGATGAGTCTGATGCTGTTGCTGAGTTGGATGCGGAGGAGGATATGGATCTTTACGATTAGAGGAATGTGAAGAGGGTGGGAAATTGAGTTAGAGGCATTTCAGCATAGGCGTTTCGGGATTGATTGATCGGGAAAGATGGCCCTTGTAGAGGCATCATGATGGGATTATGATTCACGGTTTGATGATTGTTGATGAAAAGTAAAGGCGCGGGTTGGCGTTTTACTGGGTAGCATACTTGATGACCGTGTCTTGTACATAGTTAATGAGAACCAAATTCCAAATATGTTCATCTTCATCATGCATTTGTGGTCCGCCGTTGGATTCTCATCACAACATCTTGACGTCGTGTGAACGTTCACATCGCACACGCAGTCTGCCTCTTCCACAAATTACGCTTTCCACGACATGGTCATGTTCAGGTACCAATCGACATTGACCATTATCCTATTCAACATTCACGAGCATCACAGCGGACATGTAAATTTCCCAGTCATGAACTTTTGTCATTTCTTCGTCTAACGTTCCCAAGATGGGCTTACTTGGCCAAACATAAGCTTGCCCAAGCCAGGGTATATTGAATCCCACACCGCCACATATCGAGACAACCTCTAGTAGAAGAAACCGAGAATCTTGCCAGCAACGTGCTTCCTGCGGGCCTCCTCGTGGTCCATGATACCAGCGGAGGTGGTCAGGACGATGTAACCGAATTGACGCGAGGGAAGGAGCTTGACGACCCACTTCTCCATGTCGCGGAGCTGGACGTTGTAGCGGGGGGAGATGACACCGGTCTTGTTGATGCGGCCGTTGAGCTGGATGACGATCTTGCCGTTGCGGTGGTCGTCGACCTCCTCGAACTCGCCAATGTAACCTAAAGAAGAGAATTAGTGTATGTTGCGGCGAAATAAACATCAGACGTCATGAAAGGGATCCGAAGACGTGTAAGTCCTCCGCAGTTAATTTATCGGACACTTAAAGCTCATTGATCGTGGGGAGTCGAGATCAGTGAGTAGTTATCAGCCCGAAGAGGTGATGGGTTGCTAGCGGAGGAATACACGTCTAAGGAGACATGCCGCGTGATGTGATAGATGGAAAAGTCGACATACCGTGACGCTGCATGACAGTGAGGAACTTGACGATGACCTTGGAGGAAGGACGGATCAGGACCTGGCGCTTGCCAGCCTTCTCAGCCTGTTCAGTTGTTAGCGCGTGTCCATCTCCATCTCCAGGGCGGTAGCTTACGTTGTTGATGGCGTTGAGCGCATCGTTGAGGACGGAGGTCTTGACCATTTTGACGGTTTAACGGGAGATTCTCTGTGGCGGAGGCGACTGAGGTATCTGCGCGTGCGTGGTTAGCCTCCAGATGCCAGAGCATGGAGAGTGCCCTTGCAGAAGGGTTCTTCAGCTCGTGTCGAAGAGGAGAAGCAGTGTCGCCCTCATCCTTGCGGACGGCGGCGATTGCATCCCCGGGCTCTGAAGGGCACTCAGGTCCAAGACATACCTCGTGAGGGTGCGGTGGGCGGTAGGGAAGGACGATGTTGCGAGAAAAGTTCGAGTTTGGAAGGCGCAAATTGGTGTGGTGGACCGTGTCCTCGCTAACGGGGCTGGGCTTGGCAGCAACGACGGGACCCTTGCAGGTTCAGTGCACCCAGCACCAAACTCCAACACCTGGCTGTCCTGCCACACGTCGCATTCACGATACAGAGAGAGGATATGTTTGCCGAGCACGGGACAACATATCGCAGGGCTTAGGGTTCAAACTCAACATACATGCGATGCTATCGCGCCTTCACGTGCCCTCGCGATCGCCAACTGTCTTAGTCATGACGTAGCGGCAGTCACTTTGCCTCCCATTATCCCTTACGAACCTCACGTGTAGACATCCGGAAGTCCCCTCATACACTCTAGTTAACCCTTCTGTTTCACCATGTCTGAAGCATGCTGTACCTGCGCTGCGCTTCTATCCTCTATTCCCCCAACATACGATGAGAAAACCGAGAAGCCGTCGCAGTTCGAGCGCAGACTCGACTGCTGCGGGCGTGCCATATGCGCCAGGTGCTTGACAGATAACCCTAGATTTCAAAACTACTGCCCATATTGCCAGATAGCGACAGGGCCATCAGCACTACCACCACAAGGTCTCCGCGACCCTCCTACATATTCGCCACCGGGCGAGCAAGTCGACGACGAACTACCACCATACTCAGCAGGCAACGCGCTGCAACCACCATCTGAGAAGTCGAGGACAGACACCGAAGACGCGCCCGATGTTCTGCACTTTGTCGACCAGAACAACGACTCGATCTTATCGCTATCGCTCAGATATGGTGTACCCGCCGACGCCTTACGCCGAACGAACAACTTGTATGCGGATCATCTACTAGCGGCGCGTAGGACGGTACTCATACCGGGAGAGTTCTACAAAGGTGGGGTTAGTCTGAGCCCGAGACCATTAGAGGGCGAGGAGGAAGAAATCAAAAAGACAAAGCTACGGAAGTTTATGGTCAAATGCAAAGTCGCAGAGTAAGGCCATCACTCTCCACCATACAGTGGACATATGGAGAACTAACATCCTCACTAGATACGACGTTGCACTCCTCTACCTCGAACAAGCTAGCTACAACCTCGAACAGGCGATCACAGCGTACAAGGCTGACGAAGATTGGGAGAAGACGCATTCTCTAGAGGCCGCGAAGAAGGGCAAGGCGAAAGAGTCGCAAAGCTCAGGGCGGCGGAAGTGGGGCTTTGGAGGCCTCACAGGTCAACTTTGATAGCGCTTCCGAGCCGATTCTCCGCTCATGGCGTTTCGCGGCGCTCCGACAATTTGGTAGAATGGGTATTACCATCGTAGTTAGCGAGCGTGTGTAGATGTTTCGAATGGCCGATCAATATACTATGCCATATATTGGAAGAACTCTTGTGCTAAGGATGGCAGAATGCACAATATAGCATTCACCTTTCCAACGGTGTCCCACGTGCAGAGCAGTTTGGACGATACATGAACTTCCATCAGCCTCTCTAAAAAAATCGACTGAGCTTACTATCAGGACATCAGGAGGATCTGCTATTTTCGTTGGTCGTTGCTTCCAAAGTCTCACTCCTCGCGTTGGACGCTCACAGCCAATCATCGCGCTGAAGCACCCCAGGCTGTAAGCGCCCATACATCTCACGAATTAGCATCTGCACCTCAACTCTGGAAGCGCCCACGCTCCATTCGCGTTTCACACTCTGGCGACCCTGCATTCGCATCCTTCTGTATCCTCATTCGACAACTGACAGGGCACTACAACCGCTCATGCCCTGACTCTGCCCTACCTCGCTACCAGCGGAACCACAGACAAGCCACAGTCTTTGAAGCACGGTACGATCGGCATGCTCATTGAACCACAGGGAACGGCATGTGCTGCTAAATGCACACATGCGGTAATACGGCAAGACCCCATGCAGGTTAATATCGCTATTCTAGGCCTGGTGTGCAGCTTACGCGCTGCGAACAACAATACTCTCACCACCAGCCCAGCACACTGGCGCTGCTAGTCCAGGTCCGACTGATGGTCGCAGCGGCAAGACAGATTGCCGTTCTTTCTTTGCTCTTGTTCGTCTATTCCTGTACGCGAACGCCAGATGGGCTGCAGGGGGTTGCACGATGTGTTCTGTAGGCGTGAAACCCCCTTTGCGACCGAGATCGTTTTAAAGGCATGTGCCACCCCCAGAGTTGTTTTCTATCCCCATCCCAGGCAAAGAAGATCGACTCGGAGCCTTAGCTTATATCAGGCCTCTTTCTGTTGCTTGCTTGTTATTTCGTTCTCTCGTTCCATTGTCCTTCATTCAGAGAAAGAAAGGTGCGCACTGGTTGACGCCTAGTAATCCATCCGATCTTTATACCATACCTACGCTCTACGTTTGTGGAATATAAAAAGCAACTTCGAGACCAACGACTATCATCACGATGAAGATCAACCCCGCTCCTTTCCACTTGGCTCAGGCCATCATCACCGGCCTTGTCGTCGTCTTCAGCATCTGCATTCTTGGCACTTCGGCACACACCCTCGATGTCTTCAACAGGCAACATCTCACAAACCCTTGGTGGGCGCCGATGTGGCCTCAGCACTTCGACGTACAGGGAACCAAGGCGCTCATCGCGTCGTCTGTCGTGACTCTTGTTCTCTGTGGTGCGTTCTTGATCGCATCGTTCCTGCCCCAGGTAAGCGGCCGTCCAAATATCCTTATGCAAAGTAACATCGTCCTAACAAAAATCAGCTTGCACTTCGTCAAAAATACACCCTGCGTGCTCTTCTGTCCCTCGCTACCCTCCTTCCTACTCTTCTCCTCACTCTGATCACCACTATCTGGGCCCACATGCTCAACAACAACGCGCCGGAAGTCGATACCATCCAGACCTGGACCTGCAAGATGCAGAGCTCGCAGCCGCTTGATCAAGATCTGCCTGCTGACATTGCCATGCCGGCCGGCATGGGCAACAGCGACTTCAAGACCCTTTGTGGGGCAAGCAAGTTTGCGCTATACGGAACCCTCATCGTGTTCCTGCTTGTGGGCGCAAGCATGGCTGTCACAATGATCACCTGGATGGCGGACAAGTGGGCAGCGAGGCAGCAGAGGAAGGAAGTTGAGATGGGCAACATTCCCGTGAACAACTAGGCACACCCTAAAGGCGATGTTAATTCGAAAAGAGATGATAACGAGACACGCACGCGCTTGGAGGCGCGTATTAAGTCGAGAGATTTGATGCATTTGGGTTATGGACCTCTGTCAGCAAGCGTGTCCAAAGGGGGAAGGCGTACCGGTGTATTGGCGTCATAGGTCGTTGGTATGTGACTTTGTACAAGGGTCTTCCTTTCAATGTACTATTAGGCAAATGAAGGCCTCTTTTGCGTTCAATCGCATCTTCTTCACTACGCTTGAGATTGGAATGAGGCATTGTGCAGCGATATTGCGGGGGACTGGGCCCAGATCAGATCGACAAGTCCAATGGACGATCACCCTGGAGTTGAGCACAGGATGCGTAAGCGTGCGTGAGCGGGAACAGGCAATCATGCTGAACCGCTGCATGGCGCTTTTGTGTTTCTGGGTGGAAAGCGTGCGTTTGCTGGACATGGATTGTCTGGAAAGTTGGACGGGCCAGCAAGCAGCCTCGGAGGAGTTGTCGCGCAGAGCAACGGCACGGCAGCGCGCGCGACAAGCAATTGTCTTTGTACCAGCCAGACATTGTTCATGAGACATTGCACGTAGCGGTTTCAGGGCAGCGTTGAGACGACCTCGCATCTCCGACAATTGACAGGTTAGATAGGGAGCGAACCGCAGTGGGGAAGGCGTGAATAAGCCGGTCAACGATCATCGTTTGGTTCGCGGTTCCAGTTCGGCCGTCCAGTCGCGTCACGACCGCTGATCAGCGCGCGACTCCTCATTGCATCAACTGCCGTCATCCGGCCAGGCCCTCGAGCGAACTTGGGTTGTCGCATTTGCTTCTTTCTCTCCCTCTTTCTTGCACTCCGCCCGGAGCGTGACTCGGAAAGCGAAATCTACCCGCCGTTCCTCGTTAAGCAGCTAAATTGATCACCCGTCCTGTCATCCCGGAACCCTGTCCATCTTCAGCCCCCAAGGGCTCGAGCGTGCATCGAAGCGGCATCAGAAAGATCCCCTCTCCACCTCAGCGACACCGCATAATCCTGCCTGACCGCGCCTTCCGACCGCTCCTTCCCCCTTCACACACACGTCCACACAATTGCACTCCGCTATGCAAGCTCGCCATACGCCGACCGACGAACACCGCAGCAAGAGAAAGTTCCAACCCAGCATCACAGGCTATTTCGAGGTGCGGGACGATTTCGAGGATAGCGACGATCTGCGGGGCCTAGATCCGATTACCCGACCGCGACACCAAAACACGAGGCAACACCAGCACCAGCACAGGGAGAAACTCGCCCCCGACGTCCCCGGCCAAGTACAAGCAGACCTCCTCAGCGTCGGCATGAGAGTGCGAAAGAGCGTGCCGGAAGGCTACAAGATTCACAAGACATCCGGCCTTCCCTCCATCCAAACCACCATGTTGCGGCCCACCCTAGCCGTCAAACCACCCCGAGAGCCTGTATCAGAAGAAGTTCTGCACCAGCGCGAACTCCTGCCCTTCTGCGGCTTGAACAAAATCGGCGGCTTCGCAGAACAACCAACAACAAATCCACACCTTTACGCCGCGAACGGCACGCCACCACCTCCAAACTACTTCCCCCTCCCTGCCGAGACCTTCACCCAGCCCTTCTCCTCCAAAGCCTCCACAGATAGCGGATACTCGACTACCTCGCAACGCCCGCACAATCCCTCGAAACGCTCATGGCAGGACGAAGATGAAGTCAGGACATTAGACACAACATTCTTCTTCGGGTCATCATCATCGACACGGGGAATGGGCATGGGCGTCGAAGTCGACGAAGTGCCCGTTAGCCCGCTGAGCGAAACGCCGCCCCAGGGACTCAATATGCAGCCGCCACCTCGTCGCGTCGCGCTGCCCAAGTCGAGACGAACAGTGCAACGGACGATTAGCGATGATGATATCGACATGGATTTCGAGAACGCGGCGCACATGGAAGGAAGGGTTGGTGCGGGTAGTGGGAGTGATTTCGAAGAAGCGGACTTTTTGAGCAAAGAGGTGGATATGGGTGGGATCTAAAAGGATGCTATCACACCTACGGTCGGGTTTCTTGTCGTCCCGGAACCTTATTCGCTTCTTCGCTTCTTGTATATACCTTGGTTCTGGTCTGGTTACACGGTCTTCCCTTTTGGTTCATCTCCCCCCGACACGCGAAGCGCTCATTACAAGCGGCGCAACAACGGCGTTCATGAACAAGCGATGTATGTAATGTCGGCGCGTATACCCGGTTTATGGTTTTTGATTGTCTAGCTGGTAAATCTACTCTTGTCTTCTCACTATTCCATCAACCTAGCGTATGCTTTCTGCCTTTCGATGGCCACGTCGTGCAGTTTCGCCTCTGTCTGTGCGAGTTCGATGGTCCAATTATTTGGTTTGCTCCGGCGCTGGAATGGTCCAATATGTTGTTTTTTTTTGGATTTATTGTCGCGGGGCTGTCATGGCATGGAGCTGCGTTTACGTTTGGACTGCCAGACTAAACTGTATACCGCGTTCTTCGTTCAAGGTATCGTACTCCTCCGCCAGCCTCCACAACACTCAACCAGCCTCATCTCCCCCTCCCTTCCCAACAACCCCTCCCTAAAACTCCTGATTAACCAAAGCCGCACTATCGCACCTCTCATCACCCCCCGCAGCATTAAAAACCGACTGCCCCCCCACCGTAACATTCCTCGTCGTAAACCCAAAGCAATGACCCCCTTCCCAGTCATTACTCTTATCAAAACTGTTGCGCCAACAAACAGTATTACACAGCGGGTCTTTACCGGCTTGAATATCAGCGCGGTTGTCCTGGTTATGCTGCACGCATCTGTCGATGCATTCGTCCAGGCTCTTCACTATGCCTTGCACGTGCGCTGTGACACCGCGGATGTTGAGGTAGCTCCCGTTGCAGAGTTTGCGGAAGCTGTAGGTTGCGTTGTCGTGGGTTACGGTGCGGAGGGTGTTGTTGGCGGAGGGGCAGTCGCGGAGGAGTGTGGGTTGCGGGCTGTATGTGGGGCCGAGGATGGTGGTTGTGCTGACGGTTTGGGTTGTTGATGTTGGTGGTGGTGGCGGTGGTGGTGTTGATGTCGATTGTATGCTGGTCACGGGTATCTTGGTACTGCTGGTAGAGCTGGTCGAGCTGGATTTGATTGTCGCAAGCGATCCGCCCACGCCACCGCCCGCGGCACTGCCAACAATGATAATGGCGGCAACCACACCGATCCAGAACGTTTTCTTCCGCAGGCCACATATTGTTCGTGCGGCCGGCTCTTCATGCACAGAGGTAATGTTTTGATATGGGATCTTGTCTGTGTCTGTAAAGGCCCCTGCGTATCGCGGGTACTTGTGCGTATCCTGGTCAGTACTACCAGCGACTTCCGGATCGGGAGTAGAAGCGACCTCCAGACCAGAATATGGAAGCGATGCCATTTTGAATAGCTCGCGAAGAGGATAGTCTTGTGAATCTCGAAAACGATGGTTGAAGGAGGCGGTTCTGCTGTCTCGCTGGGGCGACTTTCTTGGGTCCTTATACTCTGACACCTCGGCGGGTATCCTGCAGCCACAGTAAGCATTGAGGGGCCAAATGTCTTTTTACAGCTACAAATTGTAAGTGATAAGGGGTGAATTGTGGGACTGCGATTCTGTCGTCTCGAGAGCTACATGGCTTACATTAATGTTACTTCACAACGAAGCACTACTAGATGGGGCCCTTTATCACCGAATGCCTTTCTAACTGGCATACTTCAATAGCATAACAACCACGAAACGAAACTACCGTCAACACAGCTAGTCGGACTTCCTCCGCCTACAAAGCTTTATTACGCAACACCTTGTTCTTCTTCCTCGCCTCACACTCCTCCGCCGACGTCCTCATCGACATCCTATTGGAAGCCTGCCTCTACTGCGAAATATACACAATCTATCTCGCTGAAGACATCTACCATGCTTTACATCGGGATTCGAAGCATACCTAGGTAGTGTGCTGGCCGTAGATGTGTTCATTGAAGTATCGAATAGGTGGTAAGAGGTGGGTAGGGGGCAGCATGTCCGGGGAAGTCTGTTACGGATATGCTGGGCAGTGTTGGGAGGTCTTTGGTAAGCGGAAGGATGGGAACGGATATAGTTGGAAGAGATGTGGGATTAGGAAGTGTTTTGGTGGTGGTGGGAAAGGAAACCTCGGGATGGGGCGGGATAGGGAGTTGGAGTTGGAGTGGGAGTGGGAGTGGTGTTTAGATACCTAACCATGGTCATGGTGGTGGAGGGTGTTGTAAGGAGAAGGCTGGGTTCTGCCTCTAAGCGCGTGTGTAATGTTGATCGGCCAAATCATCTCTTGGTTATATGTCAGGCCCACAGGTCCTTTGACGTATACATGGACTCGTAACCTGCAAGTTCTGCTAATTGCGCTACAATGTATCCCTCAGGGTACATTCTGATGTGGCGCCCACTTCGACACACCCAGTAGCTCACCGCTCGACTACAGACGCGCTTTCACTTCTCATCTGCCCGTGCTTAGCGAGTCTACGCTGATTAGCGACGCAAATTCGGAATCGCGACCGCAAACACGCTTGCTTCTCCACTCAACTCACAACACCCACGTCAGCCAATAACACCATGGCCACCGACTCTGAGCTGGAGCCTCCTCGCAAGAAAGCGCGCTGCTCGGCAGACGAGGGACCTAGGTAAGCGACCTCGCCTATTCCATGAGATATACGCTAAAGATCACAGTGTCGAATCAAAACCCATTGTCGTGCGCGTTGGCGAAACCAAACAGGAGTTCTACGTCCACGAATCGCTACTCCGCGCAAACTCACGGTTCTTCGACAACGCGCTTAAGAAAGAGTGGAAAGAGGGACAGGAGGCTGCAGTTGACCTACCGGTTCACGATCCAGACCTTTTCAGGACATGGGTCAAGTTCCTCTATACTGGACGAGTTTTCGTTGGAGGGGCTGAAAACCTATTGGACAACGAGCGGAAGCACTATTCAGAGCTTTGGGCATGGGAAGGCCTCTATGATCTCGGCGTTTATCTCGATGACAGTGACTTCCGAGACGCTTTGATCGACGCTATGATCGACTGGATGTGTGCTTCATGCAAGGTTCCCATGAAATATGCCCGCTGCGTCTATCCACTTACAGCGGAGTCCTCAGCCCACCGAAAACTTGGGGTTGACGCCTTTGTCAACATCGGCCGGCGGGTGCCAGTGGCAAATATGTCGTCTTTCCCACCCGATTTCATGCGAGATGTCTTGCGCGAAATCATGCCAAACCTTCGCGAGGGCCTCGACAGCTCAACTGCAGTGGACTGGTTCAAGGATATAGATAGCTGCCATTACCACGATCACGGAGACAAGCCTTGCTACAAGACCAAGCCTGCCTTCCGCTTCTGACCTCGGGATTGCCTCTTTCCATGGTCTGCGCGAGCTTCACTGATGGTAAGTAAGATATACGAAGCTCATTTCCCCAAGTTGCACGGAAGGAAGCTGAAGCCTGGAGGTATACGCAATGGTTTACGTTTACCTTTGTCGACCTAAAAGACGTTGAACACCTTCAGGCTACAGTATACCTCTCTAGTGCTAGACGATGTTATTCAGAGTCTACGAGCTTCCTCCCACTTATCTACTTCCGTCATGCTAACTTGTATCGACAGTTGCACCACAAGACGTAGTATTTAGCGATCGTCAGATGACAGGAAGATGCGATTGAATCGCGTCAACGCCGGTGGTTTGGGTGGATTGAGTTCCTTTTGCCGCATACATTGAGGTCAAGGCCTGTCATGCACCGGTTTTTACACCCATGTAGCTGTCAACCAGTACGATTAGTATTGAACTTTCAAAACAGCTCTACTGAATCTTTGCCTTTCTCATATGCTGACAGCTATAAATCCATACCATTGTGATACACCCTCACTCTATACCTCAAACAAAGTTGCGATGGCGAGCACCTTTACCTAATCGTATCTTAGCTGCCTTTACCTGTTGGTTCGGAGCTATTCTGCCACCATATAAGACGCTCCCTCTACCTTTAGACACTAACTTCCACAAACAACTCACTCCCGACGCTGAATAGATCGTCATCACTTGGGCAACCTTCACGATGACAAGCAACACGAACCCCCGGAAGCGAGGCACCGACCAGCCAGACAAACTCCCTGATCCGAAGAAGTTGAGGCGGGCCATGGCCGACAGACCCAGGTGAGCAGGGGCTAATTCAACATCGAGATACTTGACTGATCACCCACAGCCGCCTTTATAAGAAGATCACGGTTATTGTCGGCGATGAGGACTCATTTACCGTCGATAAGAGTACTCTTCTCACTAGCTCCGAGTTCTTCAAGAAAATATTGGGAACGTCGCTCAAGACCAACGGTCCAGAAGAAGTTGATCTGCCAGACGTTGAACCCCGAGCTTTTGGAATTTACCTTGGGTGGCTTGAAACCGGCTACTTCTACATCACAGAGGAAAACGATCTCATCAATTCTCTCATTTCGGATGACTTTGGTAGCATTAGGGACGACGAGTGTACTAAGTGGAATGAGTGCTACACGCTTGGCCACGAAATACAGGACTGTGGCTTCCAGGACGCCTGCATCGACTGGATTCTAGAGAAGATGATATCCGAAGATATGATCATGCTTCATGTACCTCTTGCGGTATATGAAATTGGTGGTAAAATTCCAGCGCATCGAAAGTTTGCCGTTGATGGCGTCGCTCACTTTTGGAATGATGGCGATTTCGAAAAGTTAGAAGACGACAAATTCCCTCCTAAGTTCATCTTAGATCTCGCAAAGTATATGGGGTCAAATATGAGGCACAAACACGTCGCGGCTGAAGATGATGAGAAATTCTTCGAGAACGTCGGCTGCAAGTATCATGCGCATGTTGCTCTCAACAAGCCTTGCTACAAGAAGACTCATCCAGCCTACAAGTAAGCAGAAGAAGGTACGTCACTGCTTCTCACTGTTGCGAGGAGTGCTAACCAGCATCCTAGTCCCCAACCCTGAGAGACTGAAGACTGCTCCAGCGATCTGATCAACAACTGCATCTTACAATCGACTATCACTCTACAACTATGGTTTTGCTTAAGGAAGAAAAGGGTTCATTACTTGATACATGCAGACATCAAAAGTTCTGGCGAGGCGGTTTTACGTTCTTGATTAACATTCAGTACTGAAGTTCAATGCGGGTCTTTCATGTCTGTGTGCGTTCTTGGTTCAGATCTATTGGTTCGATCATCAAGTAGATAGCTGTACTAGAAGGCCAGCTTTCGAAGAGAGCAATTTCCTCATACCTCATGATGTCTTGGAGCATGCACGTGCAAAGTAGTTTCTATCGTGATTGCGCATCGCCCGACTAGCCGACTACAACGCAAAGATGCCCTTGAAATACCCCTCAACGCCCTTACACCCCTCCCCATCAACCTCATCAATATACCCAACATACTGATCCGGTCTCGCAACAACAACACACCCCCTCTCCCTATCAACCCCATACCCCTTATACGCATCCCCAAAGCCCTCAAACGGATTCGCGTCATCCGCATACACCGAGTCGTAATCCCAACCCGTCTTCGCATCAAACGGATGGAGAACATCCGGGAGATCGCGTAACAGCTCCACCTCCTTCCACTTGGACGAGTGTAAAGTAAGCACCTCGATATTCTTACCGAGATGCGGAGCCAACACCGATGACGACTCGAGGGCCTGGCAGAAGGTCTTCAAGCGGGCGCTCTGCTGTGCGTTCACGAGGTTGCCAGCGAAGACGATGATGCGGAATCTTCCGTCGGATTTGAGCTTCTGCTGGAATTCCCAGGCGCGGCCGTCGGCTTGGTTGATGACCTGGTGGCTGGGGAAGCGCATGCCGAGTTTGATCTCTGAGGACAGCTCTTGCTTGCCGATGACGGGGGACGAGGAGGAGACGTCTGTGCCGTCGCCTTGGTCGGCGGCGGAGCCCGGTTTGCCGATTAGCATGCTGGTGCCGTAGTCGACTGAGAGGCCGGTTGCGAAGAGTTGGCCTGCGGGTGGTTAGCGAGGGAGTAGTCAGCGTGGAAGATGTTATGCACCTTTCAAGAAAGCGTTCTTGAATTCGTCCATACTGACGCCTTCTTCGTCCATGACGTCCTTGGCTGGTCGACCGGAAAATAGCCGGGAGAACTTGTGATCGAATGCGATGAGGTCCTGCGCGATACGCCTGCGCTCGGACTGGTAGGTCTTTAGGATGGATGGATGCGCGATGCCCTTCACGACCAGACCCAGCTTCCAGCCTAGGTTGTACCCATCCTGCATCGAGACGTTCATACCCTGACCAGCTTTCGGAGAGTGCGTATGGACAGCATCACCAGCCAGGAAAACACGGCTCTTGTGATCGAAGTTCTTGCCGACTCGCTGCCCGATCTGGTATGCCGTCCACCAGTCACAGTATTCGTACGTCAGCTTGTACGGCGCCATGATCTTTTGTGCCGCTGTGATGATGGTTTCCGGGGTAATCTTCGACCTGTCGGCTCGGCCGCTGGCGTCGGGCTTGATCTCTGTGAGCTGGATGTAGAGGCGGGCGATCTTGTTCTCGCGTGGGATGATCATCATTGATCCGGAAGACGCGCTGTGGATAGCGCAGCGTTTGCGAACATCTGGAAAGTCTGTGATGGGGATGATGTCCAAGACGCCCCAAATGTGGTCGGTGGGCTCGCCTTCAAGCTCGAATCCTAGTTGCTTTCGCGTCCAGCTGTGGGCGCCGTCACAGCCTACGACGTACTTCGCCTTTACAGTCTCAGTGCTGCCTTGCTTCTGCTGGCTATTGGCGATAAGGTCTTCAGTATCATCATCTGCCAGATTACTCCTGAAAAGACCATCGTTGACTCCAGATCCTTTACTTTGCGCTGGTTTGGCCTCGTCTTCCGTGAGATATCGGAGCTGGACTGTAACAGGGTAGTTGTCGGGCGAGTGGTCATCAACTCGATCCTCGGCAATATGCAGTGACTCCGGTAGCACTGCACGCTCGACGCGTAGCGTATCCTTGGAGTGTTTCTTGATGTGATCGAGGAAGAACCTCTCAATCCGTCCCTGGTGGAGAACGATCTCCTTGAACCGAGAGAGACCGGGTGGTGTATCTGGAACTCCGTCTGAGCGGCGTATCACACCATCTTCACCGGGGTTCTGCGAATGTTAGGAAAGCTGGTAGATTTGTCGAGTGTGACGACATACCCACATGCAAAACTGATTATTGGTTAGCAAGGTTTACTCAAGCCACAATCGGTTGATGTGCATACCTCTATCAAGTGATTCGCTTCCTTCCAAGCTCGATCTGCGAAGCCAAAGCTGTCAAAGATCTCCAGGCTGCGGAGCTGTAAACCATCTGCTTGTCCCGAGTAGATTTTTGTGCCACGCTTATCGACAACGCGAGCATTGATGCCACATCTTACCATCCAAGCCGATAGCATCAGCCTAAGACTTGGTCAGTTTTGAACAATGCCCATTGTTGTGGTGATCCTTACCCTGCTGGTCCAGCACCGACAATAAGACTTTGGACTCATTAGCTACATGTTCGCATTGCTTGACATCGGCAGACTAACACATCGCACTTCGACTCTGAGTTCTCTGGAACCGTCATCTTGTAGTCTCTATGCCGTTGTCGCTAAGAGTTGGTTGTTCGCGTGTGTATACCCGCTTGAAAGGTTCCTTCGACGCAAGGTTGGCTATACACAGCACGAACGTGGCTTTCATCTAATATAAGACGGCCTTACAAACGCTCCGTCCCGCGCACCCTAGCAATCTCACATTACGGCAATGCTGTTCGGCGTGTCGCACCGCCCACATCCCGGCGTTGTCGACGCGATCTGGTGCGTGGCTACCCCACATCACGCCAAGCCGATTTGGACCGGATGACGCATGGAACGGGGTCCTGAGTTCGTGATTCGCGCATCTCGGTGTGGGCCTGAAGGTAAGCGCAAAAACGTTTTGGGGTTTGTCAGACGTTTGTCAGGTGGATGAGGTTGAGGAGGAGATGAAGATGTGGATGTGGATGCAGCCGTCCCGGGTGCGGCTGCGCTCCTTCCATTGTGCGTCCACTGCGCAAGGATTGTGGGTCTTTGGTCATGCTTGGTAAACGAGAGCTTTTAACTGTGGTTGGATTATGCGCAGGATTAGTTGGCTACCTTGAGTAAATCGCTGTGCCTAGGTGGCACGGTTGAGTTTGCCCTGATCAAACCTCGACTTTTAGAAAGACTGTGTCGCACCGGCGTAGTCGCCAACAAGCCGCGCCCTGGAGCAAATTCTGGTATCGAAATGGGGCCATGACGTACATACATCATCAGCGACGGCGACCTAGGTGCACGTCACCGGCACTATAGCCTATAGCTAGTCAATTTGGAAGAGTTGTTGTGACATTTTGCATTCACAGATTTCGTTCCTCTTTGAATTTCCAATTCGTACCATCACCATGTCCACAAATTACGACTTCAAAACCGCTCTCGTGACAGGCGGAGGCGGCGGCATCGGAAAGGCCCTTGCGCAACAATTCATAAGAGACGGAAAGAAAGTCATCATCGCTGGCCGCACAGAGTCAAAACTCCAAGAAGCCGCGAAAGAAATCGGTGCAGCAGCTTACTACGTGCTCGATACCGGAGACGACAAATCCATCCCAGCCTTCACCAAGAAGCTGATTTCTGAACATCCGGACCTCGACTGCCTCGTCAACAATGCCGGTGTGCAGCGACCGCTTGATGTCAACGAAATGGACCCAGAAGAATTTGGAAGTAAAGCCGATCAAGAAATTGACATCAACCAACGTGGGCCCATGCACCTCACATTGCACCTGCTCTCACACTTCAAATCCAAGCCAATGGCACTCGTCGTCAACGTATCTTCCGTCCTCGGCTTCGTCCCATTCTCCCTCGTCAATCCCGTATACTGCGGTACCAAAGCATGGCTGCACTTCTGGTCGATGAATCTACGCGCGCAATTGAAAGACACCAAGGTCAAGGTCATTGAGATCGCGCCGCCGACCGTAGCGACGGATTTGCATCGTGAAAGGAAGGATCCGGATGACAACAAGAAGGTGAAGAATCAGGCTGCGTTGAGCGTAGAGGAGTTTACGGAGGAGACAATAGGGAAGTGGAAAAAGGGAGATGAGATGATTGCTGCGGGTCCTGCGAATAAGATCGTGGATACGTGGCAGGAGAATATGGGACCGATTTTCCAGAGTATGGCCAAATAGACAGAGGACTCTAAGAAATCGATAGCTCGTTCATCGATTTGCGCGTTGTTCTTAACTGATGATGCGCGCACGTCCACGGGTAACTCTTACCACAGGCGCGCTCGATGTCAGCTGCAAGCGGCTAGCGTGATGCCTGAACGCCAACCTCAGACGCGATGCCAGCCACCCGAGTTTCAAAGGCGCGTCGAAAAAGTAACAGAACAAATTCTTTGACTCCAGAGTCCGATTCACATCCGGGGTGATGATCCTGATGATCATAGCCGCCAGCAGGCGGGTACCAGTCTCAATCTCCCTGGCCACCCGTTCTCTCCCCTGACCTACTACTCGCGTTCAAATACCTCTTCCGCCGCCACCTCATACCAGCCCACCGACTCAAACTCACACACGTCAAGCATCCCGTCCCGGTAAACGCCGCGAAGATGGTGAAATACCACCCGCGACCCACAGCGCGCACCAGAGGATCAATGATGGCAGCAGACGCAGCACTAAACGCGCCTCGCGCAAGCTGACCCGACGCGTACGCCGTGCTCGGTACTTCAGGAAACACATCCACGAGCAGCGCATTCGCAGTATGACTGAGCAGTGTAGCCAGTGCGGAAACGAAAAACTCCAAGATCAGAGGAACGGCGGGGTGAGTGTGTCGTTGCACCGTCCATCCATAGCCTGTTACCAGTGCCGTCTCGATTAGAATCAATGGAATCATGTTCCTGAATCGAGCGCGTTCGATTGGGAAATCCAAGATGTTTGCTGGGTCGACTATCTCGGCTTGACGTGCATGGTGCGCGTAGTTGATGTCCATGAGTTTGCCGGCTATCGTCCCTCCGATTGTCATGCCTGCCAGCGCAGGTAGGAAACTGAGTCCGATTTGTAGCTCGTTGTAGTCGTATAGCTCCTTGAAGATGACGGAGTGGGCCACTTGGAAGGTATAGTAGATTCCGTAGGAGGAAGCGATCATACAGAGAATCACGGCAGCGTCCGGATGCCGGATCATTCGTATAGAGTCGAAGATCCTCGAAAGAGTCTGGGAAGGCTTGGGCATCGCAATTCGCTCCGCAACAGTGGACTCCGCCTGACCGCTCCTCTTCCGTCCGAGAAGCGATATCCAAGTCCGCCAAACCCCCGTCGCAGGCCTCCCTCCATTCCCCACAATTCCCCTCGACGTCTCCGGCAGCACAAACCCCACGAGAAGAAGACACAAAACCGCAATTCCCAACAACGCCATAAAAACGCCCATATGCCCCGTCGACTTCATCGCCAACGCCCCACCAATAACCGGTCCAAACGCCGAAATCCCATTACAAGTCGACAACATCGGTCCCAACATCCCCCCTCTCTCCGACACCACAGCAACATCAGCCACAATCCCATACGCAATCGGCACCGTCGCCGAACCACCTATACTCTGGAACGCCCGCAGCGTAATCAACACCGGATAACTGTTCTTGTTCAACGCGAGACCCAGACTCGCTAGCGTGTACGTGGTAACGAGACCGAGTAGTACGGGTCGGCGGCCATATAAATCTGCCAGAGAACCGAATATACCCGGGGATATGGCTTGGCAGATTGCGTAGACGGTTACGGTTAAGTTGATGGCTTGGATGGAGACGGAGAAGTGGGTGCTGAGGGTGGGGATGAGCGGGAAGTAGATTGTTGTTGTTAGGGTGGAGATTAGTTGGATTATGCCGAGGATGTAGGTTAGGTAGGTGCGGGTGGATTGTGGGAAGGCGGAGTAGGGCTCTGCTGCGTTGCTTGGGTTTGGCTGGCTGGTCTTGGATGTTGTGGTCTTTTTGGAGGGGTTGATTGGTGGTGCGGTGTCTTGCAGCGGTGTTATCTCTGATGATGGTGGCATGGTGGGTGATGAGTATAGAGGAGTCCTCTACATCTTGAACTGTGGGCACGCGACATGTTACTATATGAAGAGATGTCGAGCATGCAGTCCGGGGATAATGTCTCGCTTACTCGACATGGAGCCGTGCTACCCGAGACGCCCAGTTCAACCATCATACATGATTGGAAGAGGAGAACCGTCCGGAGGAGAGTCGTCCGACTTGGCCTACGCCCTACGTCGTCATTTCTCCAAGCTCAGTGTAATCCATGTGCCCAGATTAGAAGCATTCGTTCCGGCCGCGGATTCCATCCAACCGCCCACGGCCATCGCACCCGTCTCAGAACAGCAGGCCGATCATGACAACCCGCAAAATGACACACGACATGAACACCGCACCGCGGATCTACTGTCACGAAGTTCAAGCTCCATTGTAAGAGATCAGTCGATACCCAACCCCTCCCTCAGAACCCTTACCCTCCTCTCCAACTCCTCCGTATCCCAAGCCCTACCTTCAACCCATTCCTTCACTTCCGCTACCATCTCCCACCACTCTCCCTGTTCACTCGTATGACCCTTCTCCTTCGCTTCGTTCAACACACGACGCGCTTCACGCACAACGTGCCAAAACCTGTGTACCGTGTCTGCATCAGGGAACATCGGGTTGCTTCCCTCGTTGTCACCCGGTATTATTTGGGTGTAGTGGACGGGGAGGAGACGATGCGCTAGCGTGCGATAGTAGGGCTGATAGAAAAGCGACGAGGTACTATTGTACCATTCGCTAGATTGGTAAATGACCTTTTCGAGGTGGTGGGGGCGGGAGAGTATCGTTTGGAGGACTGTCGCTGCCACACCGAATTCCTCGTCTTCATCTCCGTTGTCTGGCACGTTGTATATCATCTCCATGGCTTCAGTCAAAATACGCAGTGAACCGCCGCTGACACGGACGAAGAAGACCGTCGTATTTAGTTCTTCGCTTTCGGATTTCGTGGCGATGATCGAGAGGGTCTTGAATGTTTCGACGTCTGTGATGGGTGGGAGGAAGTGGTGGAGTGGTATGTGTGGATTCGCGATGAAGACGGCGGGGTCGTGGTACAGTATCCATTCTTTTTGTTCTTCGACTGGCTTTTGAAGTTCGGTAATGATGAGGGACTGGAGGTAGAGGAATTTATTCAGTGCACCTCGCACAATGGGTGTTTGGAGAATGTGGCTTGTGTATCCGAAGTTTTGGGTGTGGAGGTCATCGAGGGCGAGATTGCGTGTATCGTACTTCCTGTTATCGTGTAGTATCGTTGCTTTTGCGATCCGAAGGTCTGCTTGCGATCTTGTAGGTACCCAGGGTAGGAATTCGGGTATAGCGTTGGAGTGATCCAGGGTAGCAGATGTATTCCATGGGATAAGATTGAAGATTGAGTAACCGAAGAATACATGTAAGCTAACGAAGAGCAGTGCGATTCCGATTAGTAGCCTGGTCTTGTTGCAGTAGAGGCGCAGTAGTAGTGGAGGCGATGGCATGTTTGTAGCCCTGACGCTCGGAGATTTGATGCCAAGAGAGGATACGAAGCCCATGGTGTGTTATAAGCTACCTAGGAAAAGTCGTCACAATCTATTGGTATTGACTGGAGCTGTCAGTGAAGGTGAGCCCATCACTACTAGCTCAACTCCTCACTGAAGAAGCGTTTGTACCAGAACGCAATGAAGTGAAAGAAGGAAACATATTCATTCAATTTCGTAACCAATTTTCGCGGTCCAGTCTCGCTGGTACCAATGCCGCAAACGCAGCACCTGAAACTACCTAGGTAGGTAAGAGAGCAACTAACAAAAGCCTCTCAGGGTATACATATTCCGCGCATCGTCGCTCTGCTGCAGAGAGCGCAAGCTGCCACTCTATCAGATCTTACTCTGCCTTCTTCTCCTCAGCAGCCTTGGCCTCTTCAGCTTTCTTGGCCTCTTCCTCAGCCTTCTTGTCCGCCTCGTCCTGAGCCTTAGCCTCCTCATCCGCCTTCTTCTGCTCCTCGGCATCCTTCTTAGCAGCCTCTTCCTCTGCCTTCTTCGCATCTTCTGCCTCCTTCTTCGCGGCCTCCTCTTTAGCCTTCTTCTCCTGCTCGGCCTCCTGCTTAGCAGCCTCATCTTCCTTCTTCTGCTCCTCTTCCTGCTTCTTAGCCTCCTCAGCGTCGGCCTTGGCAGCTTCCTCCTCGGCCTTCTTCTGCTCTTCCTCTTGCTTCTTAGCCTCCTCTTCCGCCTTCTTGGCTTCCTCCTCAGCAGCCTTGTCGTCGGCGTTATCCTCGCCATCCTTCTTGTCGTCCTCGCCGTCTTGGCCCTCAAGAAGCGCCTTCAACTCCTCAGCAGCAATCTGCTCGTTGAGCTTGTTGTCCGCCTCGTCGTTCTGCGCATCCTGGAGGTCCTGAAGAGCGCCCTGCCAGATAGCACCGAGAGTCGCAGCTGGGTCCTCGGCAACAGCAGACCAAGTGGGCTTCGCACCGAAGAGCTGGATACCCGCTGTCTTGGTGGGCATGGCGCCGTCCAACGCGCCAGTCGCGCCTGCGATACCGCCGAAGCCACCGAGCTTGCCGAAGGCGTCGCCGCCGAGAATGTCCTGGGCGATCAGCGTGCGGCTGTCGAAGACCATGACAGTCTGTGTCTCGCGGGCGCCGCGGTTAGCGACGACGGCGGACTGAGCGAAGATGTTCTGCTGAACTTGGTTGCCGCGGCCGTCGTCGATGGCGATCTGGATCTCCTGCACAACAAGGGTAACAGTGGCGACATCGCGGAACTGGTTCTGGAAGTTGCTCTTGCGGAAGAGGTTGTTGAGGTCGTTGTTGAAGCCGTTGTTGACCTGGTCGACGATGAGGACTTGCTCCACTTGCTGGACGACGGCTTGTTGGCGCCCGTTGTCGATGATCTGGAGGTTCTCCTGCTGGATCTGGATTACTTGTTGTTGCTGGTTGAAGTTGTTGAAGCCGTCGATGAAGTTGAAGGCGCCGTCGTTGCCGTTGAAGCCGTTGACGACGGAATTGAAGCCGATTTGGCGCTTGGCAGGGGTGTTGATGGGCTTTGCGGCTGTGAGGATGGGTTAATATGTTGCGTCATATGATTAAGTGTTTGGTTTTGAGAACATACCAGCGAGACCAGCCGCAAGCGCGATAGTAGCAATAGCCTTGATAGACATGTTGATGATGAAGTAGTCCTGAAAGGGTAAAGACGGTAGTATGGTGATTAAAAAGAAGGTAAAAGATTAAACGTCACAGACGTATGTGTGTAAAAGGTTCAAAGAAAGTGGTAATAAGCAGACTATCAAAGTCGCTAAAAGAATCGAAAGCGGGAATTAAGGAAGGAAGGACTGAAGAAGGCCGGAAGAAGAGTGAGTGTGGGATGAGAAGGTAAACTCATGCGTCCTTCCTTCAGCTTTTATCCAACCACTGCCATCGACAAAACGACGTCGTTAATGCCCAGGAACGACATCGATATGTCGGTACTTGCCTTTGCCGCCCCTGTATTGCCGTAGAGATGTGACACACGTACCATCGTAGCCTTGGGTGCCTCAGTAACTCGCCACTGGCACACTTTGCTACCGGCGCACTCCACTCCCGTATCTTGCCAAGACAGATGATGTGCAACTAAAACGGTTGCCAAGATTTGCTTGACTGTTTTGTCCTGATTGCCTTGTGACCTGAGGCCTTGTTGTATGAGCCTTAGGTTAGCGGAGCCGTGGTATCCGATCGGGAGCCAAGGCTGGGGTTCCAACTTCATGCCTTAGCGACGTCCTCAGGCAGTATTTTCGGTGATTTTCGGTTACGCTGGGCAGGGGAAGGGGATGCTGATCTGCGTTGATCTGGGACTGTGCTGCGTGTGGAGATGGAAAGGATGCTTGGTGGTTGTGCGCGTACACACGAACGGTTGTCGTAAGACCACTATGCGATACCCAAGCTACCGTCATACCCGCTCCTCTTGTCGATAAGAGCTTTTTCCTCTGTGTTGATGCGCATGCCTTCCTATTCATGCCGATAGAAACGCTTCCCTTTGTGCTGATACCCACGAGTCGATGTCACCGCACCACAACCTCCATATGCACCCCTCCCCCCCCAATCACAACACCCTATATCACCACTCACCACCTCTTACCACCCTGACTCTACCATCGCTGTCACATCGCTACTTCCCGTTTGAAGTTGTCGACTCTGTCGAGGTGATGAGTGAACACCACACGCTGCGACGCACCTGAAACCCCACCAGTTGAGAAAACGCACCAGCCACGTTGCAGATCACGCATATCGTCGATATCGTATATGCATTAAGTGTCAGGCCAGGTGTTCGTCTTTTCTCTCGGATGCCTTGTCTTCCTAAGGCTAACGTGCTTGATCGACGGTAACAGGCTAGGTAGATCGTCTTGTGCTCGGTCTCGGTCGCAGGACGGAGAATTCTTGACTCCCTGTCGTGTCTGTCTATATTTAGTGGAGTTGCTCAACTTCTTCATTGCGAGAAGAGACGAGAAGGTAGATTGGGATGAAGATGGAGAAGGCGTCATCATATCGAAAGCTTACTCAACGTCAATTTCTGACCTGGATATCTACACACACACGCGCATCAATACTCCCGATAACCCTCCACTACACTTATGTAGTAATCTTGCTTCTCGTTCTTCTTCCTCTTCAATGAACCGAATCTTTGCAATCCATGTGACCAAAAGACGCTCACAGCAATCGAAATTCGAAAGAAAGCAAATCCCTCATTCCAACTTCAAAAACGCGCGCCATTGTATATAAACCCTCTCCGGAACGCCTACTAATGCCTTCTTGCCGCCGCGCGTGTTACGACATAAAGAGAATCCTGAGGAATACTCCTTAGCTCCGAAGGGAGCCTATAGGAAGAGTGAGGAACTGAGGCCAACTCGATAGTGCGAGGCAACTAGTCTCTTGTAACACAAAATTCATAGCCCCAAAAAGAGATTGAGAACCATTTTACTGGAAGACCGGATGGAGGTTTCTACTCATCATCCGAGTCGGTGTCAGTGTCGGTTTCACTCTCAGATTCGACGTCGCCTTCTGTGTCACTGCCGCTGCTGTCGTCATTGGTGATCTGTTTCCGCTTCTTTGGTGGGGCTCCCGTCTTCATTTGGTGCATTTGGCCTGCCAATGAATCTGTAGTTGTGTTAGCTTTGATACACGTGCCTAATAAAAGATCAATCTTACCCTCTTCTGGCTCGCTGATTTCGTCCTCCTCTTCTACCTCTTCCGCTTTACTGGCGTCCTCGACAACGAGGGTAACCTCCATCTTGGTGTCCATGCCGATGTAACTATCACAGATCATGTGCATGACAAAGGTGTAGCTGCCGGGTTGTGGTGGTGCGCCGAACTGCATCTTAAGAGTCTGTACGTTGTAGGTGGGGTTACCGCTCTCGTCAAGGATGGGCTTGTCGAAAGTCGAGAAAGTGAACGGCGGTACGGCGATACGTCCCTGCTTGCTGTCTGCGAGGAATACGTGCCATCTTGGGGCGTGATCGCGAGCGTAGTATGGAGCGAATGCTAGAGGTGGTTGGATGGGCTTCTCTCCAGAACGGTCGTTCTTACGTCCGGTAATTGCTGCGACATCGCCTTCCGCAGGATCAATGTCTAGTAGATCCTTCGGGTTGACCTCGGGGACGTTGGTGGCAGCGGTCGGGATGAAACGACCCTTGAGTACGAACTGGACCAAGCTGCTAGGTGTGACAAAACGCTCACCAACAACCTTGAAGAATGCCTTCTCGAGGTGGAACATTGGGATGCGCGAGGCCACAGTCATCGCTGTGCTGTATTGTTCTTGGGATAGGAGACCAGACTTGACAACACGAGCCTTACGTTCAGCTTCGGGTATTTGCATAAACTCTTGGATGGTCAAGTGTGACTTTGCTCGCGCAGCCTCAGCCGCGCTGGCAACATCGGGTGTGAAATGTGGCAGCTGCTCAAGCGGTGATGCGCCTGGTCGTAGGGCTTGGATGAGATTCTGGGAGGTCCTGTAAGCCGATAGTATCGCCTTGGTGTTGCCGTATGCGAGTGCGATGGCGGTGTAAGCTTCGTTGAGTCGGAGTGCGATTGGCGCAACCTCGAACTTCTCGTCGTTCAGAGTCTCGTCGTCCAGTTCAACGCGGCCAAGGTATGCCCACAACAAAGTCAAAACCTTGCGTCGCCGGCTGTCCTCCAGATCGTCTAGCTTCAGTCGGTCCTTCTTGGTGAGTGTTTGCGCAATGAGAGATCCGGAGTTCTCAGAAAGGACCTTCTGCTCGAGCTTCGAAAGACCATTCTCAGCTTTGTGTCCAGTGAGAACTTCGTTGAACTCCTCTCCGCTGCTGAGCGCGTGTATGACACCCACCTCGCCTTGGTCGTTGTCGTAATCGCGGAAGACCTTGCCAGCGCTGGCGACCAGGACTTTATCCTTAGTCAGCTTCTGTGTTCCGTACCACCACTTTCCGACCGTGTATGGGAGAATGACACCGAGGGCGAGCGCATAGATGAGCAGGACGTATTTGCCAGCTCCTTCCGTCACGAGCCATTGAGGTAGCGCAATGCCGATGCTGAAACTTTGCTTGCCATCTGGGTGACCGAATTCAAGGAAGTTCCGGCGGATCTCTTCGTCGGTAAGAGCCTTGAACGCCTTCACGACGTCGACCCAGTGGTCGTTGATGGATTGTATGGTAATGTTCTTCTCGGGGTCTGGGCGTGCCTTATCGGGGTGCATAGTGAGGGACAATTTTCGGTAGTGCTTCTTGATCGCCCTCTCATCGGCGCCCTGATGTGCAAGTTAGCAGGTTGTCCAAAGCTCGCGACAGAGGCAGCGGTCGTACCGTAGAGACCCCCAGCACCTCATAGGGATCCCAGATATCAGGCGTACTCCGTGTAGTAGTGCTGATGAGGTATATCATGGCGGCATTCATCGCCCATCCGCCCACCATGAGAAGACCCCGCTTTATCCTCCTTTCGAGCCGCTTCTGCTTCTTGCGCTGTCCTTGGATGAGATCGGCATGTTCGGGTGTGAAGTCGGACTCTATCCGCGATCCAGTGTTCTCGAGCTCTGGTAATATATTAGTATGGCGCTACGTGGAAGTGGCAAGCAGCGCGCACCTTTGCTTGATCTGAAGAATGAAATTGTAGTCGGAACGGTGACGAGAGTGGTAACGGTAAGGATGAAGTAGGGGAAGAACTGGCCCTGCTGGTTGTTAGCATCTGTTTATATTTGTGGCGCATGCAAAGTGTACCTGTTCATCGTAGTTGTAATCTGTCCCGGACATGGCGAACGATTGTCCCTACGGACGTGTCTGAGTACGCGAGAGAGCGACTGGAGGTGATTGCGGGGGTTTTCGACTACGATTCCAGCAGAAGGGAAGAAAAGTGATGCTAGGCCTGTGGCATTACAAAGAAGGTGGGGGCGGCGTACGAAAGAAGGTCGTGGCTACTTATTGAAGTTGTTCCGACCACTGTGTTCTTTCCCGCACCACGACAGATGGCCGCCGCGAGCAATCTTGGCTAAGCAGGGGTTACGATCACGTGTCAAAGCGCTCTCCGCTTACGTCACTCCCAACCATGCAACGCCGACAGCAATTCCTCCACTACGAAGACGCGCTTCTGTAAGCAGACAGTAAAGCCACATATAGTTCCTCACTAAATCCAATGACTGCAGGTTGGCGACTTGAAGTGTGTTATTCGTCCAGTTGGACAAGGTGTATGCTATGCTAGGTACATGTGTCCTCTACGCTCAATGGCCCGATTTCAATGCTCCATGACAATCGTCCCATGCAATACGCCTATACAACGCCGTGAACCCATAAGACTGCTCTTGGCGCGGCCTGATGTTCTCGTGAATGACCCAAATATTTTTGTCCATTCGAGAGGTTTATGCCGCGGCTTCTACTGAGCCCGCCTCTTCTAGCCCGTTTGTACCGTTAGGTGACGGGCTCTGTGTCGCTGCATCAAGAGGTGCGGCATGCAATGCGGGCTTCTCGACGCCCTTCATCTTGCCGCTCCTCCTCTTCTCGATGGCAGCCTTGACCCAGTCGGCGACTTCTTGGTCTTCTACAGGCTCGATCGCCTCAGCAGGTCCCTGGTCGCCGGCAGCTTCGCCACCATCAGCCTCAGCTGCGGCTTCAACCTCCTCTTCGTCTTCTTCTGTGATTGTGTCGGGCTTTGCGAGAGGTGCAAGCCATGCATGTTGAAGTAGCATGGCATATGTTGGTCGAAGGTTGGGAATCTTGTTCAAGCAGCCGCGTACAAAGTTGCGCGCCGCGTCAGAGTATCCGCTCTCAGGCAGATCCGGAGGCTCACCATCGACAATAGCCTAGGGAGAGTTAGTAGTTGACGTGAAAACACAATGTGAAAACTTACGCTGAGCTGACTGAAGATGTTGTTGTACGTCTCTGGTGGGTATGGGTACCGCCCCAGAGCGCACTCGATGATTGTCAGGCCCAAACTCCAGATGTCGCTTTGTACGCTGTATGTGCCGCCTCCAGGGTTGGCGCCTGCTTGCGCGATGCCGCCTGAAGATATCCTCTCGGGTGCCATGTAACTTTGGCACCCGATGTTGGTCTTGGCAATACTCGCGACGAGATTTCCACTAACACCAAAATCACAGATCTTGATCGCACCCTTGGTGTTCATGAGAATGTTGGTAGGCTTCACGTCTCGGTGAATGATGTTGTGATCATCCTTGAGTGACTTCAGACCCATAGTCGTGGCCATGGTGATCTTGCGCAGGACGCCCTCGGGCACACCGTCGGCGTAAAGTTTGTCTATGGAGCCTCCGTCCATGAATTCCATACAGATGTACACTGCACCTTCCTGGAAGAAAGCACCGTAAAAGTCGACGATGAAGGGTGATACGCAGCGGTGAAGGACGTCGAGTTCCATGATGATAGCAGCGAACTTTGAGTCGTCCAACTCGAGCCTCACCTCCTTCATTGCCATGACTATGCCGGTCCCCGCAGCTGGCTTCGCACTGGTTGGGCTCGCTTCTTCGCCAAATTCCTTTCGCGACGGCGAGCCTGGCGCAGCCTTGTTACCCGCCAGACCCTGCCCTGGCTTCCGCATTCGCGGTCTGCTATGTCTAACTTTGTATACTGTGCCGTAGTTTCCCTTGCCAAGCTCGTCCAGTGTATCAACTTCGTCCAGGGAGATGTTGAAGGAGGTACCGCTCGCGAACTGTACACCGTCTGAGTTGAGGACTGCCTTGCCGGCAAACTTGAGACTGCCGGTTTTGGTATCGACGAACTGAGAGAATTTGTCAAAGTGAGTTTCTTGCTTCTTCGGTTCTGCGCCTTCAGTGGGCTCGGGTCCCCCGTTCATCTGCGAGAGGGTCAACCCGGGCTTCTTCTTGCCAGCGGGAGGAGCACCGCCTGCAGCTGGAGACGAGCCTGGCAATCCGCCTGGGAGTCCGCCTGGGAACCTCATGCCGCGCTTCTCTGCTATAGATTTGGGCGGTCCACGACCAGGAACTGCTGGTGCCGATTGAAAGTTAGTCGCTGGCGGTCTCACAGGCATTCGGAAGTTGCTGGGTACACCTCCTGGGTGAGGACCCGGCGACATGGGGTTACGGCTGTCGGGAGATGGGCCAGGACTCTGAGGCGCAGGCCCCCTTCCAGGCAGACCGGTCGGCGGAGCGCCCTTTCTGCCGAGATGCACTGCCTGTATCCTGGCAAGGATGTCTTGGGAGACATTGAGACCGCTGCCTCGGCTGGAGATGGTGGGAGGATTCGAGGGACGGGGATTCCTGGCAGCGTTGATGTTTCCGAGTGGTGTTGAGGAGGACGTCATGTTGGGTGTCGCGGCTGAGGTAGTGGATGCAGTTCGAGGAGGAGGGCGCTCGGCAGCGGGTTCGTCAGGCAGGGTGGCATCGGCGGTTGGACTCGAGGGTGCGGGCGAGGGCGAGGGACTATCAAAGACGGTATCGGCGTCGACTTCCGTGTCGGGGGTGGAGGGATTGGAGGCCATGGCGAAAGACAGATAAAAGTCGCGGCCTGATATTGGCGGGGTACTAGGGCGAGGAAGCGGAAGAGGGTAGGGAGATAGGAATAAAAGGCGCAGGTGTGAGGTGAGTTCAGAGGCTGCGACTACACCGCGGAGGGAGTGACGGCGGCGATCTCAGCGGATCTGGTAGTCTGGTGGAGGTGTCGTGGTTGTGGGTTGTCTGGTAGCGTGCAAGTTGGAGCTGTGACGTGATGCTGCAGAGACGAGAGAGTAGCGCGCAACTACTGGTGCTGCTGCAATCTGGAATGATTTCACGATGATGGGTCTGGCCACGCGGTAACCACCATGGCGTACAACGGAGATGCAGCTGGCAAAAGGGGCTCCCGCGATATTTCTAGTGCGGTGGCTTAGGGACAGTTCCTGCTTTGCGTGCGCCGGCCGCCTGTAAGCCTGCTTTCACCTGGCCTCAGACATGGGAATGCGCAAGCAGGGACTGCAGCTGTATGCGGTTAAGCAGCCCCGAACCGAGTCTCGCCAGCAGGATTGCGCGCGCAGAAGCAGTATGCGGTAATGACCAAGCCATGGGGAACCTAGCGAATGCTGCGTGTGTTGCTGCATTGCCCATCAGTCAAGACAGCATTCGGTGTGGCCGATGTCCTGCCAGTTTTCGATGTAGCTGCATGCCGCCCAGCCCGCCGACCTGAGGCGCAGGGACGCGGTAGATGCTGAGAGGCCCTGAGTCCCATCTAGGCGCTGCGTGACGATAAGCTCTAGCCCACCACGGCCGTGTGTGAATCATTTGCGACGTGTAGCTGGGCGATCGCTCTTCCTAACGACTTCCTTAACCCATTCAGACTTGCTCCTACAGTTCCTGCAGGGCTCGCGGCTCAACTTGCCTTTCCGCTAGACCTGGAGCGGGCTGTGACGTCGATCTCCGCCCATAGCGCGTCCGCAGCCAAGACGCGGTGCGCTTCAAGATAAGTCGTGTGTTTCCGTGCCCTTCGCGCCTTCGCGCCTTCCCAACAACACCTCTGGCATCGGCATGCCTTTCTTCTCGGCTCCCCAGGCCTTGCGCCTGCGCAGCCCTCCCACTTACTCCTCGGATTTCGTCGCCATGGCCTCTCAGTCGTACGAGTACGGCGACAATGGCATGTTCAATGTCTTCAAGAGCAACACGCACAGCTCGCATCCCGACTTCGCCAACCTCACCCTGCTCGTCTTCGAGGCTGTTATGGAGGTTGTCTGCGTCAGCGCGCCTGGCTACATTGTCGCGCGAATGGGCCAATTCGACGCGGAGAGCCAGAAGTTCCTCGCCAACCTCAACACGCAGCTGTTTACACCCTGCCTTAGTAAGTCACTACCTCGATAACGATGACGCTTGTTTGTATCAGTCACACCTTCATGGACTGTGTTTATGGGGCACTTCTTGAGCTCTTCATAACCTCCAAACCTCAGCTAACCACATCCAGTCTTTACCAAGCTCGCATCGCAATTGACGGCCGAAAAGCTGGCTGATCTGGCCGTCATCCCCGTAATCTTCATCGTACAGACACTTATATCCTACCTTGCCGCGCTCATCGTATCGAAAGTATGCAGGTTCAACAAACGGGCCTCCAACTTTGTGGTCGCCATGGCGGTATGTCATGTTCCCCAACCAGGCAAACAACACAAACTGACGTTCTCAGGTCTTCGGAAACTCAAACTCGCTTCCAATCTCCCTCGTCATCTCCCTCTCCAAAACACTGTCCGGTCTGCACTGGGACAAGGTCCCAGGCGACAACGACAACGACGTCGGCGCGCGCGGTATCCTCTACCTACTCATCTTCCAGCAACTCGGCCAGCTCGTGCGATGGACATGGGGCTTCAACGTGCTCCTAGCGCCGGCCAGCTCCTACAAAGACGAAGATGGCGGCAAGAACAGCGCTATCGAGAACGGAGAGTACAGCGATGACGAGGCGCAACGTCTCCTCGATGACTCGCACTCTGACTACGAATCTGGCAACGTCACCAGCTACGCTACTTCCGCTGACTCCGACGAGTCCGACTCAGACTCGCTGTTCAACCGCGACGCTCAGGCAGAGACCGACTTCATCACACCCACCAACGGCAACGCAACTGTCCCGGGTCAAGGCGACATGAGCGGAAGCAGCAACGGCTATGCCAACGGTCATCTCAACGGTGTTCTTGAGGCGCACAAGAAGAAGCAGAATGCTCCCAAGGGCATCAAGGGAATGCCAAAGCGCGCCGGCATGGCATTGAAGCGCTCTGCCAGCACCGTTTCCGTCTCTACAACTCGCGCTGGAAACAGAGTCTTCAACGCTCTTCCCACATGGCTCCAGGGACCTCTTGCCAAGATTGGCCATGTCTTGTCAAGGTTCTTCAAGGGCGTCTGGGACTTTATGAACCCTCCCCTCTGGGCTATGCTGATCGCCATCCTTGTCGCCTCTATCCCTCCGCTACAACACCTCTTCTTCGACCCAGGAACATTCGTCAGCAACTCCGTGACGCGCGCTGTCAACCAGAGCGGACAAGTCGCTGTTCCCCTCATCTTGGTCGTCTTGGGTGCCAACCTTGCCCGTAACACTCTACCCAAGGAGGACCAGCACTCGATGGAAGACCCAAGTGTCGAGAAGAAGCTTGTCATTGCCTCCCTCGTCAGTCGCATGCTTATCCCGACGCTTCTCATGGCACCTATGCTTGCTTTAACCGCCAAGTATGTGCCTGTCAGTATTCTCGACGACCCGATCTTCATCATTGTTTGCTTCCTGCTCAGTGGTGCACCGAGTGCGCTGCAGCTGGCACAGATCTGCCAAATCAACAACGTGTACATGGGCGCCATGTCGAGGATTCTGTTCCAGAGCTACGTTGTCTGGATCCTGCCGTCGACTCTTCTTCTGGTCATGCTTGCACTGGAAACAGTGGAATGGGCCAAATGAGTCACGTGTACGTTGAAGTGTTAGTGCTTGGAAGGACGCGGCGCACCCTCCCGTGTTGCGATATGTAATTGGGTTTCAAAGCGAGGCGTTCTGGTAACTGGGAATGGGTTTGGTAGTTGCATTGTTTGGGAACATGGCAGAGAACTGCAATGAAAAGCAGTTTGTATATACACTTTTAACGTTGTCCCGGTGTTTGGAGGTTGTCGGAGGATGGCCTCTTCTTTGAACCGATCAGATCTTTCGTATCCTGGCTACGCTGAAGTACCGCGATCCGAGAGGTCTGATCGGTTCAAGGACGAGTCCATTCTACGCCAACCTCCAAGTACTGTTGAACACCTGAAAACAATTCGCAAGGGAAGGTGATCCTCCGTCTACCGCCATGGTACTTGCTATCCACTGTTAGAGCACATGAAGACAACTGGCCAAATGCTACTACTGCGTTTATTCCAGCCCGCGAGTATGCAGGCTACTTCGCCACATTGCGCTCAGCACCTTCGTGTCCAAGTTTCTGGCGTACCAAAACCTGACGTAGACTGCCAAGGCTGGGAACTGGAATCTCGGAGGCCGATAGCTGCCCAATAGCTCTGGAGATAGCGTAGGGACCAGCTACACACCACACTGCCGTCTGTTCCAGCTATGATGATGCTCTACCCTTGAATTGTCTATTTCTATCAAGATCTGGTTATAGACGCCTCGAGACTTTTCACATTCCTCTTCACCTCGTCTTCTCCCACCAGCGATCCTTACCGCCAATCAGCTTGGCACGTGGACCCTGAGCTCGCGTGTACTTTCTGGCGTTCCTGCCGCACTAGGTATCGATAACACCGCCCACCAAACAACCCGCCGTTCCTACCCACCAAGTAGGGCACGTTTATTTCGAGGCCTCACTACAGCACCTTCGGACCCGTCTGGGGAGCTACAAATTACCACGCGGTCGATCCTGCTTACTTCACTTCCACATACCAGGCTGCACATTCTAGGCAATCGCCATGGCGGATTCCTCCAATGAGCAGTCGCGGCCCAGCGTCCCCCACCGAAGCGACTCGTCTGCCCTCTCGCAGAACGCGACTCCAGTGGATGGCGCGTCGCCGCGTTCTACCAAAGGTCAGTTCTTGTTTGGTTTCCTACTGTTTGGCGTGCAAGCTCTGGCGATTGATTCATATCACCTTTTGGAATCGTGATTCTGCCAGCGAGGTAGCTGTAGATCGTCGTGACTCCGCAGTGACTAACAACTCTGTTGCTCAAACGCTGAGTCGAATCTCAAATACTACGCAAGCTATCTGGTTATGGATTAGCTATGTGCATGTAGCAAACCGAGCGACTGCTATGTCCGAGAACAATGAACAAGATGTTTAGCTGATATATTGTCATCTCACCTACCAATTGCTTGACGAACAACTGCTGACCATGCGCTCGTAGTTGTGTCTTTTCCCGACGACACTGCCATCTCCCCTCTGATGATCGGGAAGAACAAAGAACTTGACCAGAGGGATTACTTGGATCTCGACAGACCTGCAAAACACTACCCCGCAAGTGTCAGTAGAAAGAAACTCTCTGGTAGACCCTCGGTGGAGCGTCTGTCATCAACGTCCAGAGGAGTACCAGCTGAGGGTAACCCGTCCTTGTCCTCTTTGCTTTCAGACAGCTCAACCGATGCTCCCCATGGACAGCATGCGCATGAGAACCTGTTGAAGCAGGTAGGCACATGGCTCAAGCACGAGCGAAGCCGACGTCATGCACGAAGGGCAAAACGCAAAGCCGCCAAAGAGGGGGTTGCCGAGGAAAAGACATCGACTGTGGCTGATGAGGCGACTGAAGAGCCTATCTCGCTTACTAGGACCAGCTCTTCGTCGTCCCACGGTGAGGACTCACTCGACCAACTGGCGCACATCCTCGAGAAGACTCTAGCTATAAAGCCAGCCGACGCTAAAAAGAGGATGCAACACTTCCGCAGGTCTTCCACAGGCTTGAAGCGACACTCTGCCATTTCCCTCGACACCGACTATTTCGAGTCTGTAGACCAGCTGGTCCCGAGTTGCGAGGCCATCTTGGATAACTCGAAAACTATGGCGTACAACGTGGACGAGTCAGATGGCGAGTCGGCCCCACAGCTATCTGACAAGGAAGCACGCAAGGAGAGAGAGGCGTGGACCAAGTTCCGTGCTGAAATCCTCCGTTTGGCTCATACTCTAAAGCTCAAGGGATGGCGCAAGGTATCTATGGAGCAGAGCAATGAGATTGATGTGCAGAGGCTGAGCGGTGCACTGACAAACGCTGTTTACGTTGTCTCACCTCCCAAGAATTTGCAACTTCAAGAGCAGGGTGAAGATGGTCAGCCTAAGCCAAAGAATCCTCCTCCGTAAGTCATCTCGAACGTGAGTGAAACAAGTCTAACACTCTCTAGTAAGCTCCTGCTACGTATCTACGGTCCTCAGGTGGAACATCTGATCGATCGAGAGTCTGAACTACAGATCCTCACACGCCTCGCTCGAAAGCGAATTGGTCCGCGTCTGCTTGGTACCTTCACCAACGGTCGCTTCGAGGAGTTCCTCCATGCAAAGCCGTTGACCGCGAAGGAGTTGCGCAATGCAGAAACTTCGAAGCAAATCGCAAAGCGTATGCGAGAGTTACACGAGGGCATTGACCTTCTCAAAGAAGAGCGAGAAGCTGGCCCGTTCGTATGGCAAAACTGGGATAAGTGGGTTGACCGTTGCGAGCAGATCGTTACCTGGCTGGACGACCGAGTCCGCGAGAGCAAGCAAGACCCTGCGCTAGGCCCTGGCGACAAGTGGAAGAAGCGAGGTTACGTGTGTGGTATGGAGTGGCCAGTATTCAGGCAGATGGTCGAGAAGTATAGGAGGTGGCTAGAGGAACAGTATGGTGGTGCAGACAAGATCAACGAGCGCATGATCTTCGCCCACAACGACGTAGGTCATTTCACTTTACAGATGTCTTCTAAGCTGACTCTATGTAGACCCAGTATGGTAATATCCTGCGCATGGTACCAGAGGGCGAGTCACCCCTACTACTTCCAGCGAACCAGCACAAGCAGCTTGTGGTCATCGACTTCGAGTACGCAAATGCGAACCTTCCGGGTCTGGAGTTCGCCAACCACTTCGTAAGATATTTTCGGTTACCCCTTGGACCCTTCCCTACTCCTCACACATTTGAGGCATGTACTGACCAAAAGGTAGACCGAATGGACATACAACTATCACGACGCTGATGTACCGTGGAGATGTAACACCAAGTACTACCCAACCGTCGAAGAGCAGCACCGCTTCATCCGAGCATACCTGATGCACAACCCCTCCTACAAAGCAGCCGGAGGCTACACATCCAATCCTGCTACACCCCATCTAGGCCCTCTCCCATCCTCAGGAAGCACAACCGCCCTAGCAGCAACCGCAGCCCCTAGCAATATCTCCGCCTTCATGCTCGACTCGCGCGCCCCACCCGGCTCACAGTACCAAGAGCAAGAAGCCGCCGCCGAACGTCAAATCGAAGAAGAAACCCGCCGCCTCCTCGCCGAAACCAAACTCTGGCGCCTCGCCAACTCGGCCATGTGGGTAGCCTGGGGCATAGTGCAAGCCCACGTCCCCGGTCTCCCCGACTTCGACGCTTTGGATAAACAAGCAAACTCATCTACCAACCCCAGCAACTCAGCCGCCGAGCTCGACAGCGCCACCGCAGAAATACGCGCCGAGGCGGGGGCCGAAGGAGGAGCAGAAGAGAAGTCGGGGGCAGGGATCGTGAGTGAAAAGACAGCGACGGAGCAAGGGGCTACTACGCAAGGAAACATGACTCAAGCGGAACAGGATGCTGACCTTTTCAAACCACAGGACGAAGAGGAGTTTGATTACCTCGCTTATGCTAATGATCGCGCCATGTTTGTTTGGGGCGATGCGATGCGCATGGGTATTGTGGGCCCGGAGGAGGTGCCGGAGGAGTTGAGGAGTAGGGCTAAGGTTGTGAAGTACTAGCTCTTGTGTTGACGATACTTCTCTTTTCGAGAGGACCTAATTAGATAGGTGCATATAGATTTTAGAAGTTATAAGTTACTTATTTGCGTTGCTACTGTAGTACTATAGAATAAAGATAAAAAACTAAATTTGCATCGCACTTAGATATAAGTTAGAAGAGGAATATAAGATAGCTGCTATAGTGTCTTTGTTACTTACACAACTTACACACTATAGATAAACTAATTATTACTACTACTTCTTTAAGCTCTAATATCTAGCTTAGCTTCTATAGCTATATAGTACTTATAGAAATTTTCTTTAAGTTTCTCTACTTTAGATAGTCTACTACTATAAGTAGAGATACATTATAAGTAAAGAGGTTCTTTCTTATCTACGTTCTCTCTCTTCTTAAAGAGTAGATTATAAATATAAAAGAGTATTACTTCTACGTTAGCTACTTTTAAGGTATATTATAGTATTAATGTTAAAGATGTAGCTAACATCTAATTAGAAATAATTAATAATAAGGCCTTTCTTACAGCTAAACTAGCAGCACTAGATAGCCTTTTTTAATAACTTTAAATACCTAAGTATACTCTAGTATTTATAGAATAGAAGTTTCTAGACTTTACTACTAATTTTATAGACAATCTACGAAAGAGATAGGTTAACTACATTCTTATAGGCTATAGCATAAAGATTATAGACTTTAAGGATTAGAAAGTCGCAAGATAGCTAGCTAGAGCAAATAGAATATATTGTAGAATATATAATTGTATAGGTGATAATAGCCGCAGGTGAGACACAAGGGTGTGGAGTACTAGGGTGAGGTGGGTGTTATGAGCCGCTGAGGGCTCGGGGCTTGAGAGTGATTGCGGAGGTGTCGATTTGCGACGAGAAACATCGTTGAGGAGTGAGATACGCGTCCCGCGATCGAAGGATATAGGAAGTTTTGTGGGGGATGCAATTGCGTGAAGCTCCAGTACTTCCATGTGCATCTAACTCCCTACGGCACGAATGTCTCATGTATGATAGCAAATGAAAATGACAAAAAAGACTTGGTCGACGAACCCATGAGAGAGATATGAGGTTGTCATGAAACGTGATTTCGATAATCCAAGCACAGAGTTGCTCACACTGGTATATCTGCAAACGCCAAAACACCCAATTCAACCCATTCCGACCCACTAAAATCAGATTCACACACTCCACTCAACTCAGCTCGTATCCATAGCATCCTCATCTTCATCCCCTTCCTGTATCCCCTCAAGCCCCTCCTCCTCCTCCTGCTCTTCCCTCCGCTCTCTCTTTCCATCCCTTCTCCCCTGTCCCTCTCCACCCCTATCCATCCCCTCAACCAACCCCTCCAACCCCCTAACCTCCTCACTCCCCACCCTACTCCCCCCCTCCCAAACCCCCTCAACCCCATCCTTCGTGTCCACGCCCCGTCTCTCCAACACGCGTTTACTCTGACTCTCAACGTAGATTTTGCGTTCGCGTGTTAACTCTTCTTTATCTTTGGATTGTGGCTGTTGTTGGGCGTTGGAGGTGGAGGTGGAGGTGGAGTTGGAGTAGGAGGAAGGAGAGGACGTGTTGCTGGGTAGTGCGGTGTTTGGCAAATGCGGTTTTAGGCTTGAGAGGAGTTGGCGCAGGTAGGGGAGTTGGGTTGTTGTGAAGGTGGTGTGGGTTGTTAGGGGTGTGTGGGCGGGCTTTTTGTCGGTGGTGCTGTTCTTCTCCCCGTTTGCGTTTGTGTGAGTATGAGGTAAAGACTGTATGCCTATTTCCTTCGCAGCAGGCGCATGCGTTAGGAAGGCGAACGGCGCTGCTTGTCCCTCCTGCTCATTGTCTCCTCCTGTCGAAGTGAGGGATTCGCGTTTCGGCAACGTAGACGGTGTGAGAAGGGCGCGTAACCGTGCTATCTGTGTCTCATTGCGCGTTTTCTCAGCGAGGAGAGCGGCGTTTAACTTTTGTGTTTCGATGAGTTTGCGGCGGAGGGTGTAGAGGGCTTCGGGGGTAAGGGTCGAGTCTTTGGAGGGTGGTTCGAGATTCTAATTTGTGTTAGTTGTGTTCGTCTTGTCAACTCCATCCATCCTGTCCCTCTACTGCCTCTGTCCACCACCGTCTCCCACCGTCTCATCGAACATACCTCATAATGCCCCAATCTCACCCACTCCGCGGGCCCCTCATCCTGGCCCTTCCCCCTCCCCAACGCAAAAACATTCCTCAGTGTCCAAATCTCCAGTTTATCGAAGTTCTTATCCACGGCATTCTCCATGAGCGTCTCTAGCTTCAGCACCCCTTCCTCGATTTCCAATCGCGCTTCTGGGTATACATCGTTTCCGTCTTCGTCTTTCTGGGGGACGCGGTTTTGCGAGGCGTAGAGGTCGGCGAAACCGAGGAGGGAGGGGTCGGCGGAGGAGAGACCGGTTTCGAAGGAGTCGGTGCAGCGGTAGAGGACTTCGTTTATGGCGTTTATTATGTCGTCGATTAGGGACTGAATTGATGTTAGTTCTAGAACAGCGGATATGATTCTGGTACGAGAGGAGTGATATCGTGAAGTGTCTACGAGGCATTGCAGACACCATCCCCAGTCCATTCACACCATCTTCCCCCCCGTCCCCTCCCACCACCCCTCCTCTACCCATTACCCAGGACTCATACGTACAATAGGAGGCCAAGTAAAGTGCTCAGTAAGCAGCATATTCTCCTGCTGCTTTGCGCTCGCCATCTTGTCGTTTCGTCGCAGCGTGGCCGTCGTTGTCGCAAATGTCCGTTCAGCACCACCGTTGTTTGCGACACACGCGCGCGCCGAGGGACGTGTTTACTGCGGGCCCGCTTTCCGGGATCTGACTGGACGGATGACAAGGGTCGAAGGGCTCGCGCTAGTGGGGTCGCGTAATTTGCTGGTTTGGGACGCGCGCTGTGAGGGTCATGGGGAGGGTGCGTCCGCGGAGTTGTGTGGAATTGCCGTTTGCTCGTGCTAAGTCTCTCGGTTTGGTGTCGTGAAGGTAGACATCACTAGTCACTGTCACGATATCACCAAAACCCCAAGTCCTCACACCAAAACAGTAATTCAATCAAAGATGAGATCCCTCCATAAAGTGCCAGCCTATTTAGCCACACCACTACATTCATACACTCAAGCACGGCGGCTTGAAAAATCCTAAATTATACAAACGTACAGCACGACTCCATATCGTCCATACTGGAAAAGCTAGTTTGCTTTGTCTCTTTCTTTCCTCTCGCTTTGATAGTAAAGGTAGATCATATCCGCCACGACCCACCACTTCAACAACATCCACCTGGCTAGGATATACCACTCTTCTTCTCCTCTTCCTGTCTCGCACTCATGCCGCACGCAGCACGCAGCACTCGCAAGGGCAAGAACAAGAACAAGCCAAAAAGACAGATACTACTTTTCTCCCATAATCGGCTCGAAAGCACATTCAGAAGAAAGCCAAAAAACACACACAAGAGGAGGATAGTTTGGTGTAATCCAAATATAACACAATAAAAACGCCAATCAGGAACCAGACAAAGAGTAACAAAGAGACTAGTTCTGAACCCTTTCTCTCTCTCTCTGTCTCTCTGTTTCTCGGTGTTTCTCCATGCGTTCATGTCGCTGTCGTAAATGCAGTAGATGTGAAGCCAGTCAAAAAGAAAAAGGGAACAATACCACCCACCCGCCCATCACAACCCAATTATCGTACTGTTTGCTTGCTGCTCGTGCCCGTGAATCCTATAAAAAGCGCGGCGGAGCTGGGTAATCTGTTAATCTATACAAAGACACATGTCCGTCGAATCCATCCAGACGGGACACTGTATGTGTGTGTGTGTCGGTCAAGTTTGCAGATTCGCTCAATACGCTCGCGATTGTTGATCACGGAACCTCCGCTCTTCTTCCTGGCGGCGGGCCTTCTTCTCCCGCTCTAGACGGATCTTGTGCGCTTCAGTTCCGTCGTCCATGAGGGACTCTTTGAACCAAGGGTGTTGCAGTGCTTCCTTGGCTGTTATCCGTTTCTTGGGGTCGTAGACGAATATCCGCCGGAGGAGGTCGAGGAATTGACGGTTGAAATCGGTGTGGGCTGGTATTGTTTCCTAGGAATGGTTAGTCGGCTATCAAACGAACAGTGTGACGTGTGACGACGTACGGGAAGCTTCTTCATCGCCTTGACGTATTTCTTCGAGGCTTTGTTGGTGTCTGCGTTGGGGTAGTCGAGCTTGTAGTTCTTGAAGTATCGGGCGGCACTGAGAATGTTAGCAGTGTCGTGAACATGGCATCGTGTCTACTTACGAGCTGGACGAGTTGCGCGATGAACCGCGGTCTTGCTTGTAGACCGCTCGCACAATATCCCGATCAATCTTACCACTGCAGACAGCCTCCATCATCGCCAGGTGCTCGAGGTTGTCATGCGTTTGGAAGAGGGCGTCGCCAGTGAAGAATTCGACCAGGATACATCCTATACTCCAGATATCGCAAGGGAAACTCCAGCCCAGGTTGAGGATAATCTCAGGTGCTCGGTAGTGGCGAGTCGAGACTACCGAGGAGTGGTATTCGTCGTTGAACGTCGCTGATCCAAAGTCAATGAGGCGAATCTCAGGGTCAAGGAGAACCTTGCGATGCCGCGCTGTCCGGTTCACTGTTGTTGACGATGAGGGTACAGTCCTATTGTACGTAAAAGTCTGGTAATTGTTGTTGACAAGCAGGATGTTCTCCGGTTTCAGATCGGTATGAATGAGGTTGAGGTCGTGGAGGAAGGCAACGCTGGTGAAGAGCTGTTTTGCAAACTTCTGGATGTGGGAGCTGGGGAATGGGACAAAGCCGTTCGACTTGAGGAAGTCAAACACACTTTGTCCGTATAGATCGGTGACGATGCAGATGTGGTTCCGGAAGTCGAAGCAATCTCGTAGGTGAATGCACCGGTTGATGTTGTGCTTGTCGTTGGATGCCAGTGTTGACAGTACCCGCAGTTCGATACGGCTGGCATCTCGGTATTTGGGCACTGATCGAATGACCTTGATGGCACAATTTGTGCCTTTCCGTCTATCGTAGGCTTGGACGACTTTGCCAAAAGTGCCCTGGCCGAGCAGTTTTGTGATCTGGTCTGATGTCCTTTGTCAGTATCATTCTTCGGGGTATTAATCGTAGAGACCTACATCTCTCTGTGAGGTCGGCCTCGGGTACTACAATATAGTGGCCGTCGTCGTCGTCTACCTTTTGGTCCTTTGTATACGACTTCTAGAGTGTGTCAGTTCGGGTCCTGGAAGAGGAGGCGTGGATCGGGTCTTACATCTGGGACAACCTGTACGTAGACGTCCTTCGCCTTGATCACCGGGTTGGGCGGCGGCTGGTACAGGCTGAAGGGGTCGTCATTGTCCAGTTCCCGTCTTTTGGCCTGCTTTGCTTCATCCTGCACCACGGCGCGTGTGCGCTTGCGCTTCTGGCCCGCTGCGCTGTTGTCGAGAGGCGAGATGTGGTGGCCATTGCTGACCTGCGAGCCTAATGACGTCGGCGCCGTGGTGTTGAGCGCAGAGGTAGTGCGGTCGGTGGACAGGGAGTGGTTGGGGGAGTCGTAGTAGGGTGTTTGGGTGGTGGAGTAGGACGTGTGCTGGTTGTAGACGGGGTCGTATGCCGTGGATGCGGTCGTCTTGCGCTTCTTGTCTGTGTGGCGCGCGGTCGGGTTTGTCGCCGTGCGTGACGAGGGCGCGTGGTTACGAGGCGGAGGCAGCTGGGGTTCATCGTCGTCGTCGTCGTCAATAACAATGACCTCCTTCGGGATGCCGTTCCTGTAGAAGTCGGCCCAGTCGGGGTGCCGCCGCCGGTGGGCGGAGCCCGGGTCGTTCGCGCTCATGTCGATGGGCGGGGCCTGGGAGATGGGCGGCAGCTGGGGCGGGTGTCGTGTGTGGGCAGTCGCGTTTCGGCGAAGGTCTGAACTGGAGGAAGCGCTAGCGTAGCCGTTGTAGAGCGAGTTGCCTATCCGAGCGCCGCCGTTGGCGATCTGGGCATTGGCGATGCTGGGCTGGTACGTCTGGTGGTGAGAATAAAACTGGTGATGGGGCGGGAGTGTGGCCGTGGCGGTCGAGGGCGTCGACATGGCTGGGTGCGTCGCTGGGGGTGCGAGAGCCGACGTCGTGACGCTACTCGTCTGCACAGGCAAGCGGACCAAGCACGTCGGTGAGGCGGCCAAACGGCGCGACGGGGGCGCCGAATTGGGGGAGCGTCGTCGTCGGGATGCTCAGTCGGCGCTTTTGCGTGCTGGGACGCTTTGTCGCAGCCAGCAGAGGCGTTATCGCAGGCCTGGGCAGGTGGATGGTGCTGCTGCGGAGGTGCTGGAGCCGCGGCTGGAGGCAGTGCCGGGGCGGGCTACGAGGCGACTGAGGGCGATGGGGGTGCACGCTGGGAAGAATGGCGGGCGTCGGACATGCCAGAGAGGTGGTGAAGCGTTGATGTCGCCGGGTGGAAGCAGGCGAGGTTGAGATCACACTTGTTGCGGAGTCTGTGGTGAGAACCGGCCTGTGCGGTCCACATGGAGCGTCATTCGTTCAATCTTCTCGCGGCACGCCAGCGACGTCTCTCTTTCGCGTCTCGCGCCGAACTCTGCCTTGTCCTAATTCTGCCGCCCAAGACTCGACACTGCTTTATGGCACTCTATTTGATGGCAATAATGCCGCAGCGCTTGTCTTCTGCTGTTGCTAGATGCTCGCACCCAGATCATGTGCTTGCAGCGCGTTTGGCGACAGCCCGTCTGGTGAAAGAGAAAAGCCGCCCGAAGCCCATTAATATGTCTTCGGTCGCTTGCAAAAGAGGGTGGCACGCCGTCTCCACTCGCCCTGTCTGGAATCTCTCGAACTCAAACATTTACCAATATCAAACATTAATCATCAACTATCTATCAACTTCATTGCAGTCATGTTCTACACCCGCCAAATGCATCGCTCCTTCCATCCCGCCCTCGATACTGCCCAGGTGCTGAACCGCGCCCAGACCACCACCCTCCGTCGCAGACATCTGACTGAAACCGCTGCACAAGACTTGCACCCAACAATCAAAGGACCTCCGTAACACTAATCCCTACACCGCGTGCGGCTCTAGCACCCATTCCCCATCAAACAAAGCCCTTGTGTGACCGCTCTGCAAAGTGAAGCAACACGCCCGTGGTCACGAGAAAGACCAAGACAATGATCTGCGATGCTGCCCCGGGCACGCACCTACAAATGTCATCTGGTTACTGTGGTAGTAGTTGTCGAGCCTGTACCAGCCTATGTGACGAGCGCCCTGAGAGACATGATGGCATGGCAACAACCCCGATCCCGTTTCTCGACACTTTTGTTGTGATCAAAGTTCGAGGTGTTCAGGGTCCATCCTGATTTGGCTACTTCCGCGATGCCGCCTTTCTAGATGCACATTCCCGGTTCGTCGCGAAGCTGGGATAGTCACTCCAAGGCTACATACAAGGCGCGGTCCCTGCCGCACGTGGAACTGCACTTGCTTCTGTTCACGGGTTGCTTCTTTATCATGACGCAATATTCCTCCTATTTTACTTGCACCTATCTCACCTATCTCACCTATCTCACCTTCCAGGCACACACGCCCGAAACGCTGATGTGAGCCTTCTCTCACCCGCGGTTGGTACCGCTCGCTTGGAACGCTCTTGCCTATCCACTGGCTTGGCTGATGGAAGGTTCGATGCACGCTGCACTCCGCTTCAAAGGATAACGTCATGGCCCCCAAACGTTTTCCCCACTCCTACACTACGATTTGTAGTCGAAGAACGAATGACCGGAGTGATGGCGATGCACTGCCTCCGGCTATGTCCACTGCGGATGAATAATGCACTGGTTCTGGAAGATTGTTGCCGCTTGCGCCGTCCTGGTGATTTAACCGCCAAGGCGGAGTCGTGACATGATGGGTGGTCTGTGCGCGGCACGGATGTATGGCAGCGGACTTTCGATGCTTGTCTGGCGGACATGTGGGTATTGTGAGAATGCGTTTTGCGGAGATGCACGTTACTTTACTTCTATATTGTTGTTGACGAAGAAGGACGTGTTGCTGTTGCTATGTGTTGTATGGGTACGGCACTGAAACAAGATACATCCCGAACGCAGTACAACATCTTCAAAAGTCTCGATGTTCCGTCATGAAGGATTCGTATTCTGCAAGGCATGTCCCGGTGCGCGTTGCATATGTTGTCATGATATAAACAAGTGTTCAATTCTTGTCCCATACTACTTAGCTCGTGTGAAACAAAAACCACGATCAAGACATGAACGCAAACATATATCTGGACCATAATAGGTCAAGGAAAGAAGGAATAAAACCATGGGCATCTAATATGATAATGCGCTTTTGGTCTATAGCCTAATAGCCGTTTCCAGTGCAATGAATGATTCAGACAGCAGCCCCAATGCAGTTTTGCACATGAAATTGACGGAGTCGCGAAAGAATGCCAGTTTCAAAAAGCCGATCCCAGAAAAGACTTCATGGAGCCGCCGCGCATATGCTGAGCACAAAAGCCTTCCGTGCAGTGAAAAGAAAGAAATCAAGGAAAATCGTTATCGTTCGTTGCCGAGAAAATGAGGTCGGATGGCGGTCTTCGCCCAGCGGGTCAAGACAGTGCGACGTCGATGTTTACAACTTGGGCGTGATGCTGAGCTCCTCGAAGAAATCGACGATAGTCTTACTGACGCGCTCCACGATGAAGTCGACGTCATCATCGGTGACGTTGTATGCAGGGGCGATGATGATGTGGTCGCCGCGAATGCCGTCAACCGTTCCGGAACCTGGGTACACATATACATTGTATCCATCCTTCAGCCCTGCAGAAATCGTTAGTGATGAAACGATCATCCGGACCAGATGAACTTACCTAGCTCATGTACCCTCCAGGTCACTGCGACTTCCGGATCAAAAGCCGCTTTGGTGAGCTTGTCTTGCACAAACTCAATCTGCCGTTGTTAGTAGTTAAACCACGACTGCCAGGTGGTGTTCACACTTACTCCTATGAAGAGACCCTTTCCTCGTATGTCGAACACGTTGGGATGATCGCCCAAACGAGCTTGTAGCTTCTGCATGAGCTTCTCCCCTTTGTCGCGAACATTTTCCAGAAGGTTATCCTGTTGAACAATCTCTTGAACTGCCAGACCAGCAGCGCAAGCAGTCGGGAAGTTCTGGAACGTATGACCATGGGCAAAGGCGTTGTCTCCCATCGCATCCACAATGGTTGGTCCGACCAGCATCGCGGAAAGGGCTGCATAGCCGCCTGCGATACCCTTGCCTACCAATTGGATATCTGGAACGACATCCTCTTCTTGCCATGCATGCATATAGCCGGTGCGACCCATGCCGCACATGACCTCATCCAGAATCAAAAGTACGCCGTATTTCTTGCATACTCGCTTCATCGCTGTAAGGTAGCCGGGTAGTGCGGGGACGCAGCCAAGTGCCTGTAGCCACGTGTTAGTCACCAACGAGCGAAATAAAGAGAGTCAAGCCAACATACCGCGCCAACGACCGGCTCCATCACGAAGCCTGCTACTGTATGGGGACCAAGATCAAGGATCTTACGCTCCAACTCATCTGCGAGTCGTTCGACATATTGAGCTACTGAGTCTCCCTTCTTCATATCGCGGCTAGGGTTGCAAGGAGATATGAACTGCGTCTTCTCAGGCAAGATGGGTAGGTAAATCTCTTTGCGGCCTTTGTGTCCACTGGTTTCGAGAGCACCAAGAGTCGCTCCATGGTAAGAACGATCGCGAGCGATGAACCAGCTGCGTTGAGGTTGCGGATTTGGCTTCAGCTTGGAGTGATATTGGTAGGCTAGCTTTTGTGATGCCTCGTTAGCTTCAGAACCTGATATTTGTCAGCTTGGTTTCGGCCCTGGGGTTTGGAGCATCTTACCAGACCCATAGAATACCACTTCTTTCAACTTATCATCGGTTGATTCAAGAAGAAAGTCTGCGAAATCTTCCACTACTTCGGTGTGAAAACTCATCGATGCGGCATACCCAACTCCAGACTCTTGTTGCTTCCTTACTGCCTCAAACACCCTTTCATCCCTATGACCAATGTTCGATACAGCGGCACCTCCAGATGCGTCAAAGATCTTCCAGGCCTTCTCTCCATCTACCACCGACAGCCAGTTGCCCGAAGCGCTTTCCAGGAACAACGGAGGACCTCTTGCACTGCGTTTGAGTAAAGGACTACCGAGATGATCGCGACCTCGGCGGGCTCGACGGCTGCGAGAAGTGACGAGCGCAGGAGCTGAATCCATCGATCCAAGTGAGACGCTGCTCTGGGATGCGGGACTAGAACTGCCGCTATCGTCAATCAACAAAGCTGGTGCCATTGTTGCTAGATGAATTTTGGTAACAGTAAGTAGTAGTCAGAGTTGTGTGGAGGAAGGGGAAAGATTGATATAGGAAACGGTGTGTGCAGTGTTGAATGTATTCGCACAATGCCTTGAGAGACTGGAAACGCAGGTGAATGATGGGTGACTTTATAGTCGATTGATAGTAGCGTGAGCTAACCACGATGCGTATGGTAACCCGACCGGTGAGGCGTCCTCTTGGAGTGGAGCGTTTGTGGTGTAATCAGGCTCAGGGTCACTAGAACCACACTTTGATCCTCGGCAGATCATCTTCAGCCCTGGATTCGGGCCGTTCGGGGAGCCTAAAATCGTGAAGACCAGTGCAAGAAACAACGCCGGCTGAGAACTGGCTTCCAGCTGGATAGATATGTACGTAGGATGCGGTGAAAGGATTCCAGGCTTATTCATTCTTGTGGAGTGTTAACGGTCAATCGCTTACTTTGTCAGCCAATCAGCGCAGACTGTGGCTGTTTTGCCGGATTTTGCTTGCTATCGAGATGATAAAAGGACGGTCAGCCGGACGTGATAGGAAGACGCATCGTGTAAGATCAGGGGCCAATGTCGCCTCGATGTCAGGGCAAAAACCAGAAATACCCCTAGATAGTCATCCTTGCATATGCTGCGCGGCGTAAAATTATCCAGGAGATGGGGACGGCTGTTAGCTGGGCCAACGCGAGTCGTGCGTGCATAGCCCGTCCTTGTCGGATCCTAAATCGTAGCTCACTTTGGAAGGCTGGCACACGTATGCAATGCAGGACTGACAACGCCTCGTTTTAGCGGCTCACGAACGGCTGCGACGCATGCATCATTGCCACATGGTAGAAGTGGAGTATAGAAATACGCCGGGGTTTGGGATCGACGAGGCCGCTGCGGCCGCATGCAATCCAATGCCAGGAAGATCGGATCGGGTTTTAGCCGTCCATGTTGTGTAACCGAACTTAGTGTATAGAATCCAAAAGCTCATCTTTAGTTAGTGACGGCATTGAACACGAAGGGAGAATCGCGGATTCCGTCAGAAGTAAGAAGACATCGTACCGCAAGCGTAGTATCGCGAGTACCGGCATCTTCTACAGGCCAGAAGCCTTGGAGGTCGGTATGTTGATACTCCTTCGATTGCGTAGACATGGCCTGACGTGGTCTCCTGTGATGTCTAGACTGATCTTTTGTCCTGCCTGGCTCGATATGCGGACTGCAGTATTGTAGAACAGGACAGCACAAGGATGTGCTGGAGGGAACGACTCAACTCACACGCTGATGCCTACTGCAGGTGATGGCTTGGCCAACCACATCCATGCGACCCAGCCGCGTTTCATCGTACTGGCTCGATGCGAGGAATGGTATGTCGACGCTTCAATGGCCTGACACACGCGGACCAGCTGCCACAATCGATTGACTGCAGATGTTGGCACTAGTGCGGAGGTATTCAATGAGGCAGACAGTAAACGTAGACGCCAAGTCAGGTGCCACGATAGCGATATGGGAGGTACTTTTCCGACGGAGCGGGCTTGACGTGGTGGCGCGGGGTGATAACGGTCGTACCCCTGCAATAGCGGCAGGCCGTTAGCTGGGTCCCAAGACGTCACCTGACGAGTCTAGAGGCCGCAAGTTGCGGTGAAAGAGAGAGTTAGCTCTGTGTTCGGTGGTGGTGCTAGGACGATGAAGTTGTCCGTCGGGACGAGAGCAGTTGCCCGGGCCGTGATGCGGAGCTGGAAGAAAAGCGCCGAAGCGCCGAACCGAGTCGGAAGCGCCTGCCTCTTCCATAGCCAAGCCCCGCGTTTAGCTTCCCCCACATCCTTCCATACGTGCAGGTGGCCTTCACCACATCGCGATAATTCTATCGTACCGGAGAAGGCGAGGTAAGTCACGGCCCGAGGAACACTGGCATTGCGCGCAATCTGACGTACAGATAGGACCGACCGGAAGCCACGATGAATCCACGCGTCGAAGAAGTCAGCGACTCGGACAGCGACCCGTCAGAAATGGGCATCGACGATGTACCCGCTCTGATGAACGCGAATAATATACCCAGCACGGGCAACAAGTCCATGCCGACACCAGCGCAGATGCAGGCGCTCCAATCGCAGATGCTGCAGCCGCAATCGCCCTCGATGACGACATCTACGGACCGAGAAAAGTCCAAGCACTACCAGTGTTTATACCCCATATACTTTGATAAGTTACGGACAAGGGCTGAAGGTCGTCGCGTGGGCAAGGAGCTCGCCGTGGAGAACCCTCTAGCACGGGAGATGGCCGACGCTGCTGCCGACCTGGGTCTCCGGACTGTCTTTGAGCCTGACAAGACTCACCCCAAAGACTGGGCCAACCCTGGCAGAGTGCGCGTCCTTCTCAAGCACGAAGGCAAATTGATGGACGACGATGTGAAGAACAAGCATCATCTCTACATCCTCATCGCACAGGCCCTTAAAGCCAATCCAACACAGAAGAACACACCTTTCAGATTACCCATCGCGGGCCTACCTATGCCCAAGGAGATGCCGGAGCCAGCGATACCAAAGGGCTGGAAGATGAGCAAGATCCTCCCCCTACATTCACCTGCCCTAACGGGTGGCGGTGTTAGTGAGAACTTCCTACAGGATATGATGGGGGAGATGATGGGCGGCGAGGCAGGCAGCGGCGCAAGCAGCGGGACTGAATCGAAGAAAAAGATCAAGGACAAAAAGAAGAAGTGAACCAGCATCCCGGAACATCGCCGTCTATGTGTCAGCGCTTACTTCGCCTATATTAAACGCCAATAGTCCGGCAAATGTCACACAACCTGCGCCGCAACCATGCATGGTGGAGGCTGTCGTCACATCCTACATGTCACTCCACCGCGCGCTTAGATACCATCCCGACATGAGCGACCAACGTCTCTTGTTGTGGAAGCAGCGAATCAACACCATCTACAATCATACAGCAATGCCTCTTCGCTCAGTCCTAGTCGCCTTTGCGTGGCACTATCGCCTGCATTGCTTACATCTCCTGCGCTGCTCTTACATACATCGTTCGTCTAGAATTTCTTTTTCGGTCTTCCGTCGACACGCGACTTGATCTGATTCGACATTTCATCAATATGCACACCGCTGCTTCAAAAGCTGTGTGCATTCTGCACATGGAAACCTCCTTGCAGCACTATGTACCACTAGCTGCTGCATATCCGCTATCGAATACTCCGACCGGCATGCGAAGTCCCGGTTTCCACGCCACTTGATAACAATTTTCCGCGTGATACCCTGCGTCTGATTATCTATTCTTACATAGCATGGCCACCTCACTGTGCTTCCTGGCTGCGCATACGGATGTTCAAATACTACAGGATACTCGGTATACTTCTGCGTCATGTATGCATGCGGTTCAGTTCACGTGAGTGGCCCGCTACCCAGAACCGAGCCCCATTAGCTCACCGTTCAAGCTTTCAGCCTCGAAGTCAGTGACAGCCCCGCGGGCCGAGCAACGTCTCTCGGAAAACAGTTGGCCTGCATCTACCCTTGCACCCACACCACTTGTCTCTCACCGGTAACGCGTCTCATTCGTCCATTTCCTTCATCCTCTGGCCTTACATTCTTAGTCTGATCGCTACTCCACTTCGCGTTCCTCGCATGGGACGTCAGACTTGGAATTGTTGGGCCATGGGGGTATGTTGGTCTCCATGTAGCGAGTGGTCGTGTTTACCGAGCCTCAGCCATGCAACCACTATGTCGGGCCACACACAATGTATGCGAATGCGACACAAGATTTCGCAAGGCATCCAACTAACCTGCAGCTAATGAATATGTGCTCATCGACCTCAGTGGTGCTGTCGTATACACGGCTGAACTTTCCCGATCAGAAGCTCGCCACAATCCGTACGATGTTACGTATGAAACAGCAGATGCGCTTGACAGTGCGAAGTCGATACTGATTGAAGCTCGCTCGGACACCACCACCTATGACAAATCTCAGCTACATGACAAGACCAGTCTGACAGTGCTTTTAGGTGGTGTCTTGCCCGTACCCTGCTCATCACGATGGGATGCAATCATACAATCGCCGGCTGTAAGAGCCCTGCATTCCAGCCCACTCTTCTAGCCCCTACACAACGTTGATGCGTTTGACTCGCATGTCGACCAAATCATCTCACAAGCCAGTGGTTGGAGCACCACCAGGTGTAATCGCCCAGCCGTTGGGTACACGGCATCACGACCACTATCCAATGTCGACAACGGAAAAAATGTCAGCGTGACACAGCATGAACAGTATGCGAACAGCCTCTCCAATAGCCAAATACAAAGACAGGCACGTGAGTGGTCCGGGAGAAATAGCCGCAGCGAGTACACATCAGCACACATGCCAACATCGGTGTAAACGGGAACTTTGGACCTTCCGTTTATGTTCGCCACCAAAACGTCAGAGCCAATCATGGCCGACCAGGTCTAAAACATTTATCCTCGGTCCACTGAAGGAGGTGCGCAACCATCGGCCCGCCAGGTAAATGCAAAGGTGCCGTCCGCATCTGAGGGTGTGCTTCCGGGCTAAGCGATGTCGACCAGCTGCCGTTCTCCGAGCAGCTTGCGCGGATCGCCGAGTTACCTTCACACTAGCTTCTATACACCCATCGCCAATATGTCATTGCTGGATGTATATCGACGGCAAGTGACGGGAACGCAGCTACATTGGTACCTACGCTCCATGAGCCTGCAAGATCGTTCGATTTGTTCCTTTCGATTTGTCTCTAGTTGTGACTCATATCTTATCACAATGACAATTACTTCTTACTGACACTAGACAGTGACAGAATTCGTGTTGAACATCACAAGTCCCCTGGGAAATATTGTCAGGTCAAAGTATGCATTGTGCTCAAAGCTATGTACCTGCTGAGGTTTCGTGGTGTGCATGCAGCAAAGTGCGATACAGAATCTATGTTCCGCTACGTCTACCAGACTGGTAATCTGGCAGGCTGAGCGCGACCTGTCTTCACGATCACGAGAGCCGAGATGATG